CGTCTTTAACAATTTTCTCCTTATAGACGCAACAGATAGAAGTAAGATTAGTAGCGATCAAAAGCGCTTTTTTATCGCATTAAGCCTATACCCCCTTTCATTTTTCGCGAACACTCCCTTTAACAAACTAAATATATCGTCAATATTTTTCTTTCATTATGAATTAAATTTATCAACAAATGAAGTCCATTGTGTTCAGAAACCTTCAAAAAAATCTTAAAGCCCGTCAGTTATGCATGCTTACAACCAAGGATGTAATGCAAGGCAAGTTACTTCAGAAGTGTACACATCTTTTGTACTGCAATGTACTGTCTGCCAATTTCTATACAAATGTTTTTATATCATGATATTAAGATGTAAAATCAAATCTGCATTACATTAATTCAGAAAACTTAAAAAAAATCTTAAAGCCCGTCAGTTATGCATGCTTACGACATACACACACTTCTAAATGAACATATTATCTCCAAATTCAATACTTCTACAACACTTGTCGATTCAACTAAAAGTTTAACACATCGTAACTGGTTGAACTATATATCTGCTTTTTTCAATTTACATAACTCCCAACTTTAACCTGAGTGGTAACTTTTGAATGGTGGATATTGGGATTCTTGATCTACTCTTTTTCTTAATCTCCAGATTAAATAAGGCTTGTTCTCCTCTTGTTATTAATCTTCAGATTACTGAACTGATCGGGATTAAAGATATCCCATTCTAAAGTTTTCAGCTCTGTACACATTTGTACATTGAACAGGGTTACCCACAAAGGAATAAGACAAGTTTACATTTTTTTCCATAAAAAACTTCTGGTTCCCAGAAATATAAGGTGATAAAAACAGTTTAGACAAAACGCAGTTCAAAATAAATGAAAATATATTTTCTATTTGTTGATAAAGCTCTCTTAATATTGCACATATTACAAAGTTTACAATTAAACTGAATTACAAAAATCCGCAAAACAAAGAGATAATTTGGCAGGTTTCTTTGACAGAATGGAAGCGAGATCAATTATAACAATAAAGATTCTAATCTAATAATGGAGGGAATGGGGAAGGTATGGGAGAAGGTGGGGTGGGAGAGGGCGGTATAGGTGAGTGAGGTCGTGGAAGAGGTGTTCTCATAACTCTTAGAAAATCTTCAAGAGGAAGAGGCAGCGTCGACTCTGTTGAAGCTGGGATATCTATACAAGTTTTGATCGGACATGGTTTCGAAGTTGAGATTGGATATGGGTTGGAAGTTGGGATATCTGGCGTAGTTGGGATGTGTTTAGGTATCGGTGAACTACTTGCAGGAAACGGTATTGGTGAAAGCGTTGGAGCATAGTTAATAGAGGAGCTTTTGGATACACTAAAAGGAGTCGGAGTAAGAGCGAAAGGGTAGGATGGGACAGAAGGAGGGGTGGGGGTAGGAGTAAGAGGTAGGAAAATATTTGAAAATGAGTTAAGAGGAGTTTCAGAAGGTTTTGATTGACCAGAGGATGAGACAAAGTTGGTGGTGACGGGGAGAGGAGAGAGCGGGGGCATCGGGGAAAATACTGCGGTTTGATCCAAGGACGGGGACGGAGTGGGTGGAAGGGGTGAGACGGAATGGAGTCCACGGTTTCGGATTCTCCAAGGTAGGTTCTCAATACTCACAGGAACCAGGTTTAGAACTGGAGAGGATGAAGATCTAGAAGGTGAAGGACGGATAAGTGAACTCTGAGTACTGAGGGTCACAACACAAGGCATACATGTAGTACTTGATCTAATGCTCGGTAGTTCAGGAGTGCTTGATCGAATGTTAGATAGCCCTGGAGTATATGATCGAATACTAGGTAGTCCTGGAGTACTTGATCGAATGCTAGGTAGTTCAGGAGTGCTTGATCGAATGCTAGATAGCCCTGGAGTACTTGATCGAATGCTAGTTAGTCCTGGAGTACTTGATCGAATGCTAGGTAGTTCTGGAGAAGTACTTCGTCCTAAACTAGAGGGTGTGACAGGACGAACAAACTGTCCCTGACCGAGCACAAAGGAAGTAGATGGTCCATACTTCGGCGAACTATATGTCGGAGAATTGCCCGCCGAAATCGGTGCCGGAGAATCTTGATCGTAAGTCAGTGATGTTTCCGTGTCTTCTGCAGTATTCCTTTCTCTGAAAAGAAACATTTTGTTAAAAATAAAATTTGTGTTAAACCTATTGTTGACTTTTGCTTAAATAACGGGACTGTCCTTGTAATTTCAAGAAAAATCCATTTGAGAAGGGGCATGCATGATTCACATTTGAGAAGGGGCATGCATGATTCACATTTGAGAAGGGGCATGCATGATTCACATTTGAGAAGGGGCATGAATGATTCACATTTGAGAAGGGGCATATCTTATTCACATTTGAGAAGGGGCATATCTGATTCACATTTGAGAAGGGGCATATCTGATTCACATTTGAGAAGGGGCATATCTGATTCACATTTGAGAAGGGGCATATCTGATTCACATTTGAGATGGGGCTTGTCTGATTCACATTTGAGAAGGGGCATATGAGATTCACATTTGAGAAGGGGCATGCCTGATTCACATTTGAAATGGGGCATGCCTGATTCACATTTGAAAAGGGGAATGCCTTACCACAACGGTAACCTTCAAAGTTTTATCAGACCAAAATTATGGATAATATCTCCTTTTACAATCTTGAAAAAAGTGTTTAATTTTCAAAGAGAGGATAGTGGATATATGATATATCATCAGGTAACACTTTAAAGAGTACCATTGTGAATGGGATATGCCACTCTTCTCAAAAAGACTACCTTAAAATTACGTCTACATTCCCTTTAGGTGGAAAAATCAAAAAGTAAACAATTTTAGAATTCTATTTTTCTATTTCTAATTACACAAAATTATTACAGTTCCAGGCAACCAATTCTTCGGTCGGAAAAATATAAAAAACATTTCAAATCACCAATCAGCCAGTCTGCGTTATACAAATTTAACATTTTTGAAAAGACTTTTTTTGAGAATCCCTATTTTAATGGCTCTTTTCGTCTTCAATTAACTTAAATACGGCTAACTGTACAGTGTACATGGGTAAATTCTACAAAATATGTACAGTGTACAGTATACAATGTATACTGTATACGTACATTATACACTGTACACTGTACATAACATGTCATAAAGTTTACCTTGTAAGTTTCTCTAACCCTGAGAAAATAGCGTCCAGTACATTGTCATCCCAAACCTTACTCTTAGAGTAAATCCTACAAAATAAATTTTTTTTAATTTATTCATAATAATCCAAAAAAAGTTCTATAAATATTCTCATGATGATAATGATAATGAAAATAATAATAAAAGCTTAGATAATGATAAAAATATACAATTTACAATTAAACCCAACCTTTATCTACCGACAATGAGGCAGATATCGCAGGTTTTCTTCATTGAAAAATAATAATTCTGACAAATAACTTCATTGTTTCTCCTGTTTAAACTCCCAAGTCACTTTAACAGAGAAACCACAATTGAAACCACTCAATTTGAAGATTGAAACTATGAATATCTCAGTCATCCATGATTAAACAAAGGTTTCAGATTTAAGAAATGAATGATTAGAAAAAATAAAGTGAAAAAAAATGACTCCAAATAAACCTAAAACTATACCTATTGTCCTCACTATATTTACGATAAAACTCCTGGAGCTGACGTTCACTAAAAAATAATAAAAAAAATAAAAAATTATGAAAACATTATTTTGACCTTTATCTTCAAAATTTTCCAAAAATAAACGTATATAATAAAACAAGACATTCGTAAATATATATGTTTCGCATAGCCGGCCAAACGGCTGGACCGATTGGGCTGAATTTTTTTGTGGACACTCATGGGTGGCCGGGGGTTGTTAGGCTAAAAATTTTCGAAATTTTTCCCCGAATTCTTTTTTTTTCGAGGTTTCTTTTCCTTAAAATTTTTTTTTCCACAGGCAACGCCGGGCCCTTCAGCTAGTTGATATAAAATTTTAAGTGAAAATGTAATTTTTTCCCATAGCACTTTTGCAATATTTACTGAAAATCACAATTTATTTTTGACATAATAACGCAAAAGAAAAAATGGTGGGTTGGGACGTGAGTAAAAATAACATTAAAAGTTGCAATCTGAATTAGATTTACCTGAAGTTTTGACGTCTAGGAAAATGTTTTGACACATTCCTGTACAATATTCTCATTGAAGCTTACTTTAAACACAGTCATTTAAAAAATAAAAAAATAAAAAATCAAGAACCAAGAACCAAGAACCAAGAACCAAGAACCAAGAATCAATAACCAAGACCTAAGAACCAAGAAGCAAAAACTAAGAAATAAGAACCAAGAAATAATAACCAAGAACCAAAATCAAGAACCAAAAACCAAGAACCAAGAACCAAGAAAAAAGAACCAAGAACCAAGAACCACCAACCAAGAACCACCAACCAAGAACCAAGAACCAAGAACCAAGTTCAAAGTAAGAGGTTGGGACTTAAGCCAGGAGGGGGGGGGGGTGGAGTGAAAACATGTAGTCAATGAGAATATATCCCTGTTTGGATGTTTCTTATTGATACTTTTCTCCTCCATCTGATGGAGGTTATTTGCCCTGACAGCCTCCTCTACAGCCTCCTGCTCTGTATCTGAGACCTCGAGGTCGTCTGTGTAGAAGTCACAGATATTCGCCAGGTTACTTCTAGATAAGTTGAAATTGTTAAAATGACTGTAAACAATTTCAAGTTCTTAATTTGTAGAATGGCGTCAAATTTACAAATGTATCCTTATAACCTTTATCTGATCTAGGTTGAATGAAATATCCTAATTTTTCTAGCAGAAAAATTGATTTTTTAATTGTGTTTTCTCTACACATGACTTTATTTTTTTTTTCTGGAAAAACGTAGAAAGAAATTAACAATATTCGACACTTTCTGAAGACGATATCTTCCTAAGTGTTACTTAGTTAGAGGCTTTTAGGGTACCTTTGAAAATGAGACATGCCACTTTGTTCTTTTTTATTTAAATTGGAGGGTCAATTCAAACAGATCCACAAAAAAATTAAGTTTAAAGAAGAATTTAATTTTGATTCACATACGCAGGTCAGAGACGTTTTTTACTTCAAAGTTGTTGCATTAACAAAATATATTTTTATCAACATATTTAAAAAATCAAACTTATCTATTTAAATACTGGCATTGTAAGCAGTGTTGGGAATACTTTCATTCTGATCCATTTTCATCTGTCAAGTATTGTGTATTCAATAAAACCAACGTAAATTAAAAAAAATTATTTTAAAAATGTCAGAAATCCGCCGATAAAATGAGAAAAATCCGCGATATTTATTTCATTTTAATATTCAGCTGAAACTAAGAAAAAGCTAGGGTACCGTTGAAGTCTCCGCTGAGTGCCCGGCCTGGCGTTGAGAACAGTTGATATCTTACAAGGTTTCCTCCTAATCACGTTCAAAATTCTAAATCATCATCTCAGATTTTGAAAGTGAAGGGATTGAAAGCGTAATTTTTATTTCAAATAATTCCTATAAATTTATCTGTAGTAGAAATTCGCAAATCACTTATGTAGAGAAAATAATCAGGTATTTTCATAAAAACTCGACTTTTGATTCATACTTGATCAGACAAAGCGTTTAAGGGCATCTTGGTGAATTGGGCATTGCCATCTTTGCATGGAGGGTCACTTGAAATTACGCAGTCTCTTTAAGACACGAGCATGATGGTTTGGAATGTTTCCTGTAAAGATGAGCATATTTAGAGGACTGCTCTTTCCTCAGGAGTTCCTCCCCCTCATCATCAATCTCCCAGTCCCTTTACAGTAGACAGTACAGTACAGTACATTGCACAGCAGACAGTACAGTACGGTACAGTACAGTACATTGCACAGCACAGTACAGTGCAGTACAGTACAGTACACTACAGTACAGTACAGTACAGTACAGTACAGTACAGTACAGTACAGTACAGTACAGTACAGTACAGTACAGTACAGTACAGTACAGAGTAAAGTAAAATACAGTTAAGTAATATTCTTACTTTCAAATATTTTTTTAATCTTACCCCCCCCCCCCACCAGAAAAAGGCTAGCAATTAAAAAAAAAAATAAGATTTTGTTACACCAAATTTTCAGGTTATGTGTAAATCAAAGAAATATAAGGATGATAATTAATTTAATGACTTAAAAAAGTGTAGAAGTAATTACGCTGGCTGAAAGATGGGACCCGGGACCCCCTCACGCATAAAAAATACCAAAAAACTTAAGTTCAATTAACAATATTTTTCTTACTTATGCAGATCTTGAAGTTTGAATTTGATTCTGAAGGAATCAGTTTCTCCACAGAACATTTTCTCAGAGTAACTAAAAAGTTTTTTATTAATTTTTAGAATCATATTATTATAAGTCTTTTCAATCATACAAGTCAAGTCAAAGTCTTAATTGAATCATTCGGAGAATATCAAAATACTCAAAGTTGGTCAGAAGCCATTCCTAGTCTTTACACGAGTCATGAAAATAACATTAACCAAATTTTTCTTCAATCTTTGTGTCATTTGAGACGTTTGGAGCTTTTTCTTCTCATTTTCAGAAATTGTTTTTAAAAATTATTTTTGTAATTCTCGGACCGAGCAAAATAAAGTTTTAATGAAAACTTACTTGTAATCATAAACAGGACCGGACGGATTCGACTTGTTCGCAACATCCTAAACACAATAAATTCAAAAGTAGTTTTAAAATCTGTAATCTATTCCCCACCCCCCTTCCCCACCCTATATCCTTCTTGGAAAATTTTTTTAATATAAAAATATCTCATTTGAGAAATACAAGGCTTTAATAAAAAAACACAAAATAACTTTTTACTACCCCCCCCCCCCAATAAAAGATATGCAAATTGCAAAATATAGGTTTGAACTACCTGACTACTTGAGGGCGGACCAGTAACCAAGAAACCTTGGTCATCTCCAGATATGGCTGGGGGGTCATCCACATCCTCTGAAGATAAAAAATCAGCCTCGGTAGATTTATTTTTCACAGCATTTGATGATTGGAGTATGGCATCTTTGGTTGATTTTGAGGCTATAAACGTTGATTTAAAGGAATCTGGAGTTGATTTCGAGGCCGTAAAGGCCGATTTCGAGTCTGTTGAGGTAGATTTTGAGGTTCTCGAGGTTCCAGGTAATGGAGAAGAGGCTGCTGCTGAGGCCTGTCGAACATTCGACCAGAATTCAGATGAAAATTTGCCATCGAGGCTCGATAAACTCGACGTAGGTCGAATATCTTGCGTCAATATATTCGATTTTGGTCGATAATCGACATCTGAAATAATTAATAGATTAATCTCTAAAGACCAAAAACTAAATGGACATATAGGCAATTACAGTCTCCGTGTAAACCATTATTCTGTATGGAGTAGAGTACTGTTCTAAATTAACCGGAATCTTTATTGACAAAAGACTTCAAATTCGTCTTCGATCCTAGAAATAGTTTGGGGCAATTTTTTTATAAAAAATACCACAAAATAGCCAGTTCCTAAATGTGGTCTGCCATTCTTCTGCTTTCAAAATTAAAAATAAGATATTAAGAATTTAGTTTTGATTTCAATTTGTTAAATAAAAGGAAATTGCCTAATTCAGAACGAAATCATTAATATCTCCAGTATTTGTCAAAGCAAAAAGGCAGACCACATTTTGAAAATGCCAGGATTTGGACTATTTTGTGATTATAGTTGTGAAGGAAAGCCAACATGAATACAGCAAAATATTTCTAAGGTCAAAGGTGACTTCAAGTCTACAATTAATTAAAAACAAATTCCGGTTTATTCAGAACAGCATTGGTTTAAGTGATGGGTGTTATGTTTCAATCTACGCCAAATCCGCTATACTTCACTTCTGACCTACGCCAAATCCGCTATACTACACATCCGACCTACTAGCACGTGGTTTTACAGCAGCTATACGGACTTGTGGCCGCAACGCCCGGCCTTCTAGCCTGTCCTAGTCGCAGGACTCGACCCAGAAATTGTCTTAACAAAACCCTCAAATAATACAGAAATAATCAGCTGGCGTAGGTCAGATATTGCAGTAGGTCGGAAAGTTAGTAGGTTTAGTAGGGGAGATGTTGCGTATAGACGATGTAACATTACCGGTTTAAGTAAATACTAAATATATTGCCTTATAATCCATTAATGAAAACGTCTAAAACAACCAGGCTAATAAAGAACCATACAATTGCTGTAGACGGAATTTTAAGTGACGCTTCATTAACAGAGTTGCATGTCGGATTCACATCAGTTACCTCTTAAACCTTTATCTGAGAAACGGTGAGAAAGATATCGAGGTTTTTTGATCAAAAAAGTGTTAAATTCTGACAATTTCCTTCATTGTTTCGGCAACATAAATTTGTATATAGAAACCAAAGACAAAATTATTACTTGAATAGAAAACCAAACATCTCTCTCTCAGTCTTTATCAGACAAGGTTAAAAAAGGGTACACATGTGAATAGGACATGCCACTCTATAAATGGAGGCTACATTCCCTCCCAAAAAACTTCGTTTGTAATATGTTATCAAAGACCTTTATTTTCTCCCAAAACGTATATTTAATTTTTGTTCTTATAAATCGATTTTAAAATTCTAAATTTGTTTTTTTATTTAAGTATATTAAGAAAGCCCAATTTTAAGAAATATAAAAACTCTGAAACTGATCAAACCTGAGTCTAAAACGACCAAACAATATGTAACGTGTATTAAGTGTATCACTGATACATGAACAATAAACCATGATGCAGGATGCATGATGCATGTAACAAATAATTGTCTATAACGACCAAATCTAATAATACTTGGTTCCCAGTATAAAGAGAGAGTATAAAAAGAAGACTAACTTTCTAGCAACTTCTCTTTGTATCAATCTTCTATGAGGTAAAACCGTGTAATACAGAATGGCAAATCAAAATAAAATGAACTAAAAAATATTTACATTTTTTTAATAAATATAAATCGTTAACAGAGTTCCATATCATATTGGATTATCGACTCCAAGCTTTAACGACAAAACATCATAAAACAAACTGTTATTTAAGTCTGATTAAACCTTTTTCATTTTCTCTTTACTCCCGAAAATCCCAATTGAGAGATGCACACGATCGAATATGACGTGGGACACTCTGTATATTTAAAATATCAACAGGGTTACCCACAGAGGATGAGATTAAAATAAGATTTTATTCTCTACAATAACAGTCTTCCTACAGCTGTACAGTGTACACTTTGATTGTCAAGATAACAGTGATGAATTTTTCACAAAAAAACAGCGTTAAAAACAAATTTTTTTTAGGAAAGGTAAATCGAGATAATATTCATCCCTTATAACATTATGCTTAAAATTATTTCATATTGAAAAGAACTGCTTTGTCAGACATGACAAATTTCTAATACCTACCTGTCACCAACATAATTTTCCATTTTGTAAAATACCTTTATACCAGTTTGCTGCTTCATCACTAAAAACTGGCTGGGACACACTTCTACGTGTCACAGTTTCAGAGATTTTCTGAAATTTTCGTGGATTTTCTCCGTCAAAGTTCCGGACTCTTTTTCCGAAAAACGGATTTTTGCGGATTTCTGCCCGGACAGCTTCTGCAGAAAGAGGTGAAGTCTCAGTATCAGTCCTAAGTAAATTCCTAATTAATTGGACATTTAATTTTGTCCATTAAACCTAAAATTGAATGAAATTTAATTTAATGAGTTTGTTTTTAATCGTTGTGAAGAAACAATCTCAAAAACTGACGAGGGTCAACCCAGACCGAAATATATTTTCAATAAATGTGGAACTAACATCTACTTTTTTACTCTACAAAGGTTTAGTCCATCACCATCACCGAATTTTAAATGAAAACTGTTTCCAGTTGGGAATTTAAAGTTTTCTAAATGGTGGGTTGTATATTTTTAAGAATTACCCCCCTCCCCTCATGTTATTGAAATGTCCGAAACTATTCCTATGCACATAGAGGGTAGCTAGAGTGGAATGGTAAAAATTGATCTTCCCGAATATGCACAAACCAAATTAAGGAGTCAATACCATTAGTCAAAGTTGATGAACAAACCCATTTCTCCACACAGTTCCAATAATTATCATTCACAAGAGGGAGGACGGACCCCATAACTTTGCTGAAAATTAGTGTATATGTCCAAAATTGATAAGAGGGGGGAGGGGGCGGGGATCCAAAAATCTTAAAGAAGGATAGACCCAAAATTTGTATTTTGTATAAAATCAGGGGATTTATTACCTAATTATCCTAAAAATATCTTTTCAATATATCATAACGCGCGCCATGAGGATAAAAATACCTTGACTTTATCTCGTGCATTTCCTAGCAGTTCAGAGCAAACGGCTCCGCACCACGTAAAAACTATCTAGGTTTATATCACATCGTTCTAAAGATAAATAAGATTTAAGTTCAACTAAATGTTATCACGAAATTAAACCGTTTCTCTGTTAGCTAACAGTAGCGACTAATCCAAATGAGTGAATCACAGAAACGATTTCGCCATTGTAAACATTGATTGATGAATGATGGCTGATGCGCATTGCCTAGTTTAGAAAGATCAGCCGCACTCTCTCAAATGGAAAGGAGGTTTCGTGAGCATTTAAAATACTTTTGTTAAATTTAATGAAAATTAATTCACAATCAAAATATATTTATATATTCTTTTATGCTGCAACTAAAGACAGGATATTTAAATAAATGATCAGATTCAATTGTGAAATTAAAAAATCTAGATAAAATTATGTAAAATTACGGAATTTTATCATATTACTAGTCTCTAGTGAATATACGCGGAGAACAATAACAGTTTTTCGTTGCGTAGAAACTAGAAATTTTAGCATGATAAAGCTAAAGCCTAAGACAACCATGTTCAGAATTTCTTGAATTTCTACGCGGCATTCGAGATAAAAAGTTTCCAAACGATTATTTACAAATTTGACGCCGATTATAAGAATTAATGTCGAAATGTCAACCCGTGTGTTTTGTTACAATAGACAAATACAACCAGAGTGTGAAGAAGATCTTAAAGAACGGTTCGGAGCTTATGGAGAAATTGTCTCTTTTGTTCTTAAACCATCTTTTATTTTGGTTAATTATGCTTCTTCAGTGTCAGCAACGGAAGCAATACTCAGTGAGAATAAAAAAGAATATAAAGGGCATCTATCAGAGGTACGCGAAGCATCAAAGAAACCTAAATTAAATCCTAAATACGATGCTCCTCAAATAAGATCCTCCTACAACTCATCTGTTTCAACCCAGGGTCGTGTTATCCAAACTTTGATTTCACAACCCCCGGTTTACGCCCCCCCGATGCCTCAACCTAGCCCCTGGCAACCTTATCCTGCATACCACCCTGCCCCACAACATTATCAGCCGGTGCCACCGACTATTTTCAGTCAGCCACCGCCGAATTTCCGCCCCAGCGTCCCGGTTGAACAACATGTGAAGTCAACTCCTGCTGTAACAGTGAATGATGTAGGAATTATATGCTTTAACCCATTGTGTCGAACGTATGTAGAACAGCTTGACGGTCAAATCAGACTAATGGGATTGAAAGTTGAAATTTTATTCCCTGATTCTACCATGTCAACAAGTACAGTTCTAGGTATACATATTTTAACATTAAGACAATATATGGCCCAATCCTAGCGGAAGGAGTTTTGGGTATATTCCTAGACAACGATTTTTGGACCCCCAACTGAATCTGATAAGTTCTCCTAATTTTTGTACTTGATCCAAAAAATTCTTAACTTGTTGATGGAGGGAAATCAATTATGCAATTTTACCGCGGAGAAATATGGTTTCTCTCCCTTGATTGTCATCTCTTGCTTGTATTGTATATTTTTAGTAGTTTAAAATTTTGTTATTAAAGTTTTAATGATGGCGTGAAAGTATATTATCTCACTATCTAATTCAACTCGGATCGTAAAAAAACAATTTAATTTCAAACAAATCATTCAGATATTACAACCTATAGCCATCAATTATTTTTCGACGCATTCGTACATAGTTAATTTTTTATTAGTTTTGTATACAATGCACTTAAAACACCGAAATAGTTGGTCGCCAGATGCCTCTGCTCTCGACGCTTTAAATGATTACACGTGGCAGAGACACCTAGCAGAAAAAAAATCGTTTTGAGTGCATTGTAAATAAAACAAATTACAAATATTATGAAATATGAACTATATACGAATGTGTCGAAAAATATTCGATGACTTTAGGTTGTAATACCTGAATGATTTGTTTGAAGACAAATTTATTATTTTACGATACGAGTCAAATATTGCATTTTTCCGAATTTGTATGAACGCTACGTACTTCAGTACATGTCGGTTTTAACAATTTTCTTCAAAAGACGCAACAGATAGAAGCAAAATTAGTAGCGATCAAAAGCGATCATTTTCGCTGTAAGCCTATGCCCCCTTTCATTTTTCGCGAACACTTCCTTTAACCTCTATTCTGTTTAGATAATATTGGATCTCGTGGAGTAGCTTTAGCACTTCTAGTCTTAACCTCTATTCTGTTTAGATAATATTGGATCTCGTGGAGTAGCTTTAGCACTTCTAGTCTCAACCTCGAATGAAGAGAATAAAACTGTCACCATCAGAATGCTCAAGGTATAAAAATAAAATCATGTAAAATAAATTTTGACTTATTTGTTGGTATATTCATAAAATTTTACAAACTTTCGGTAAATCTTGAGATCTTCTTTGAAACCGAGTCGAGCCAAATTTACTGGCAACTCATATAACCCCAGGCTTATGGACCGTCAAAAATTAAATTCTTTTGAAAATGCGCCGATTTTATTAAAAAAAATCTGCGAAAATTTGAGAACGATTAAAACTGGCTAAAATAGTTGATACGAATTATTAATTAAGTTAATTATTAATAAAAATTCTTCAGACTGTGAACGGTGTTCAGCAACACCATAAAAATATTCCTATCGACGCTGCTTTATCTTTTATAGGTAATATTTTTTGTGAATTCAGATAGTTTTGAATTTAATTATCGTTGTGACGTTAGACTAAAATTTGTGAATTAAAAGCAAAAATAGGATTAAACTTTGATATTTGGCAATACAATCATTGATCGCTTTTCTCAATATTAAAATCTTTTTCGATTACTCAACAATTGTCTCATAAAAAAACGTAATTTTACGTTTTCGCCAAAAGTTCCTTAAATTTCTGACGTAGACGTAATTTTAAATGATACTGCATTAAAACAAATTAAATGGCATTCCCGATTCACTACCGTACCGTACTGCACCGTTGTATTTCTAACAGTGCTTAGGATCCGGATCCGTTGGATCCGCAAGATTTTGCCTTCCTATATCCGGATTCGCAAAAATATGCGGATCCACGGATCCGGATCCAAGGAGAAAAATATCAACCAAAAACTGAAAAAAAAACTTTTTTTCTCCTAAAACCCAAATCTGAATATTTGAAAAATGAGATATTATAAAAATTTCTTCATTTCTTAATAGTTCATCAAGTTTAAGGATAAAAATAAGCGAAAAAATAAACCAAAAATTTGAAAATTATTTTATGTTAAAAAATTCAGTAAATCTTAAAGAAATGACCTGGATCCGGATCCATTTTTTTCCAGTGCGGATCCGGATCCGCATCAAAATTAAATGGATCCTAAGCACTGATTTGTAACCGTGGTTTCTTTGAAATATTAATTTTAAGACTTTATTCAACAAAGACACAGAACATAATCTACAAGATTAACCCCTTGTAATATGGCAAAACGACATTGATGTTGAGATAAAAATTTGAATGGTTATTTATCGGAAATACCAAGTGTCACTTTAAGGTCTAAACTAAGTGTTTATATTGTTCAGGTAAAACCTATAATAAATTTGTGGATCTAAGTTTGTTAAAAAATAAAATAACCTCCACGGGCCTTCCTGCCGACATTAAGAAAATTATAGGTAAACCAGTAATTATTTATAGATCAACGGTGGTGTACATTTTCTCCAAAATCATATTCCCCCACCTTTAACCCCCCCCACCTGTGTTATTATTTAGGGGTTTATTCGCTGAATTTTGGGGAGGAAAAAATATTTTTTTTAATGGGGAATTTTAATGAATTTTTGGGTTTACAATAACAAAGAATGAAAAAGTTGCCTTTTGATTTTCAATTTTTCCTTTCGCCGGCCCCAAATTATCAAAAATCACTATGAAAAATATACACCCCTTAAAAATCAATCAAAAAGCAATAAAATTCAGTATTTTAAAAGAAAGTTAAAATTATAAGTTTTTTATCAATTAAAAATTGCGTATTTTATAGTTGTAAATCTTATGCCTAATAGCGAAAATTTTAAAAAACAAAATTATTCAACTATTTAAATTTTTGCTTAAAAAATAACTATTTAATTGGACCCCTGTCAAAATTACACCTTTATGATTTTAGAATGGTTGACAAATATTTCTAATTCTTAATCTAGAAATTGATATTTTTCATATATTAATTTATTCTGTTATTTTTATCCTTAGAGAATTATTTATATAAGAAGTCGTGAATAAAAAAAACATACAATTGTTAAATTTTGATCACGTCCAATCTAAAATTTTGAAAAATACCTTTAAATCATTTGTTTCCCCAGGTTTTTTGAAATCCAGTCGACCTGTCTCCTGTTTTGAACTTGATAAGGAACCGAGAGTTGAATTCATATTTTTTAATAAATTTTTTTTTAAAACTTATAATATGTTAGCTTATTGCATAAATTGGAACCTAAAATTAATTTTATTTTGATTTTAATGAATCATTGCTAAATTATTTTGGGACCTATAAATTGCTTTTACAATTTTATTGCTGCGAAATTTTGTTTATTGATAGATTGAGAAATTAATTTTGAGGACAAAAATTGTGGCAAAAATCTCTCAAATCTTAGAAAATAATTTTTTTTTTTCTGAAAAAAAATTCGCCTCAGATCATCAAAAAAAATTTGTCCCCTGGTTGAGTGTGGAGGGGGGGTTACTCACGTAAATCTTAAAATTACATACCCCCTGACAATATTTGATTTAACTCCTGGGATTCAGATGATCCGGTTTGTTGTGGAGCGGAGACACCAATTCCTCCTGGATGAATCTCCTGATGGTATCCCGGAGCATATGGTTCACCCTGCTGTAGGACCTTACCTGGACCCTGGGCTCAGGGAGGAGAAGGAGAAGATGGCCAAGGATCTGTTGAAGATTCTTAACTTTGAGAACAAAAAACAGATAGACCCAGATATTAACAAGGGAAATAACCAATAGAAATGTTTAACAAAAATAGCAGAATTTTGTCCGTTTCTAATCTTTATTTATTTTGATCGCTTGATTTCAATAAAAGTTTGATTTTAGAACAGTACAAAAAGTTGGTTCCTTGTCCTAAATGAAATAAAAACTGGAAAATTGATTGAATAATTTATACTCTAGATCAATGATCAATGATCAATGATCATAAACGATTGATTTACTGCTTATATTGATTGATAACTGCAGTATTGATTAATCAATTTTATTATTGGTTGATTAATTGTATTATTGTTTGATCGATTGCAGTATTGTATGATCATTTGTATTATTGATCTTTTTCAATGATCTATTGGTTATATTGATTAGGCAATTGATCAACTGCTTGAAGCAGGTCCTATTCTTCTCTCCAACCTGAAGACAACCAACACTACGATGATCTCCTACCCGTCCCAGACAGCCTACATGGCAGCTAAAAAGTCAGAGTCCGTGGATCCGCCGGAAATTTCAGAAGTTATTTCGGCAGACAATAATGAATGGAGTCGCCGATCCCGGGATCGGTCGCCGGTTAGAAGATCACGGGATCAAAGACGATCCAGTGATCGTCGTCGATCAAAAGAACGACGGCGATCCCGGGAAAAAAGAAGTTCCCGAGAGAGACAGTCATCTCGTGGGTCAGTTGCTGCTGCAACCAGTGTTAAATCCAGTTCTAGAACTTTCGTAGAAACAGCTGAATCTGAAGAATCCATGATGATGAAAATGGCGGGAATTCCCACTGGTTTTGGCGGGAAACCTAAAAAAAACCGAGCAGCGGCATTTGTCGTTGAAAAAAATCAGCCACTAAATTTTGCACAACAAAATCCGGGAAATCCAGGATATTCTAACTCTACCGGACTTCCACCGCCACCAGCACCCGGCGCTGCTCTTTTCCCAATCAGCTTATAGTCTTTCTTAATTTCGCATTTCTTACTAAGACTGTGCGTTAAACCATCAAATATTATCTTGTGTTATGTTTAGCAGAATATTTGTATATTTTGTTATTTTGTCTTGTTTCAGATCCGACTGCTATGTAACCGGAAAACAATGGTTTGTGAAAAGTGTGAAAAGAAAGGAAAACTTGGAAAGGTAATTTCAAATAAATTTAATTTTCGTTTTTTACTCTTTACCTTAATATTTAATAAAAACTTATTTTTTGTCTCCAAAGCATAAATCTGTACGTCACTGTCGCAGAAAACCCACTATTTACAATTATCAATTTTCAATAATATGAAATATTTTTTTAAATTATAAACTGCAGTTCTGTTCACGTTCACATTTCAGTTTAAAGATGAAAAGTCTGCAACTACGCTTGCAAAACTATTTTTGATTAAACCTTAATTAATGGAGAGCTCTGCGAAAAGCAACTCATTACAGCAATAGATACGAAGATAGAATGAGACGTTTTTTTTTCTCTCTATGATTCTATAAATGAAAATACTATTGTTGATTTGTTTTGTATTGAATAAAGTTGTTAAGAAGGAGAATTTTCAAGCAGAAAAGCAGGTCTAGCTTTCATTTTCGTTTAGAATAAGATTTAAAGGGCACCGCTGCGAACCGGAAATGCATCTCTAAATAGAATATCCTGGATTAACGTCGACAGTCCCTTGAAGAAGTACTTTTTTTTGCACAAAAAAAAGAAGGTTATTTATACTTCTGCAGAAGAAACTTCGGTCTTGGATTTGGAAACCCCTATAATCAGGCTCTAAATAGAAATTTCTTATGAATGATAAAAAACTAATTTTTATTAAATATATTTAGGTGATAACCCCGGATCCCTGGAAGGCTGGAGCCAGTAATATAACCGACAACGGTGGAAGGTAATTCAGGGGTAGATATTATATTTTTAAGAAAGAACCCCCCCCCCCAGAAAAAAGGACACCAAAAGACAATTTGTTCTACATTATGACACGTTTAACCCCAAAATTTATTTAATATTTCCCTTGAAAATCATTTTATTTTTCCAATTCAGCAAAGAAAAGTCTTAAAAACCAACTTTTTTTTTTTCAAAATTAGAGATTTTTTTCAGGTGGTTTTAAAATTCCACGGGCAACGCCGGGCACTTGAGCTAGTTTATACTATTTTAAAAAGAGAAAAGAAATACTTGACGTCGTCCAATTTTATCCCCTCCTTCCAAAAAAAATCAAGAAAAATCCCGGGCCGCAATTCTGGAAATATTTACCCTGGAAAAAATGCTCTTATTTCAGAAAGGTTGGAGAGAATAAGCTGTTGACCTCTAAGAAGAACAGGTTTAATCCAACCCAGGCCGAGTTCAAGAAGTGTCGGATCTGTAAACAGGCACCAAATTTAATCAAGAACAAAATTAAATAATTTTCTAAATCTGAAAGAAATTCTTTAAATCTGCGCTAGATTTGAATGTACAAAAAGGGGACTATTTGAAATTGTCAGGGATACACTGTACAGGGGGCGGGGGGATTGCTTCTTCAAGAATGAAGATTGCTGCTCCATGAATTATAATAGCTGCTTTAAGAATTATGATTGCAGCTCCAAGAATTATAATTGCTGCTCCAAGAATTATGATTGCTGCTCCAAGAATTATAATTGCTGCTCCAGAATTATAACTGCTGCTCCAAGAGTTATAATTGCTGCTCCAGAATTATAATTGCTGCTCCAAGAATTATAATTGCTGCTCCAGAATTATAATTGCTGCTCCAAGAATTATAATTGCTGCTCCAGAATTATAATTGCTGCTCCAAGAATTATGATTGCTGCTCCAGAATTATAATTGCTGCTCCAAGAATGAATGACGCAAATTATTAAAAAAAATCTAAGACGATCTTCAAGTTTTCTCTTTACCGTCATGTTTTGTGGTTCATCCAGTTACTAAACTACAAAGACTTAGTTGAACTACTTCTATTGAACTTGAACCGGCGCGCAAGAGAAGTGGTTGAACTATGTCAATGTAGTTCAACTACTTCTTGACATTAATTAAATTTGTAAACAGAAAGTACATCAGCCTGGTTCTCATTACTGTCAGAGCTGTGCTTACAAGAAGGCAGGGGTGCTAACAGTTTCAGTTTGAAAAAAATGAAATTATCCTCCTTAAACGTTTTTGTATCTCCCTTTCCTCCTATTCTTACCCCAAGTCTTAATCATTTTTAGACGATCATGTGATCAGTTAAATGGACGTTAATGTTAATATATATTGGCTACAACGGTAGTAATCCACAATGAAGTTATCAATGCCAACAGTTTTTCAAAGGAACTAATTGCCAAATTAATAATTAATATAACGGAGGGGTAACTTGAATTAACTCCCACAGCTTCAAAAATCCTACATACAGTGATATCAGAAAACTCTTAAATAGGAACGCTGCAAAATTTCTTATTGGCCTATTTAAAGTCATACCTTGAGTCTATAAGTCGTCTTGCTATTTCGGAACTTTCTGTTTATCACTGTATCTGATTCAGAAATCCGAAACTTTTGTATAAAAACCAAAAAAATGGGTAATAATAAATCATTAGTTATAAAAAATAAAAATCTGGTTTAAAAATAACGTTATCATTTTTGTTTTATTCGGGGTCGAATTTTGCAAACCTGTCATTTAAAAAATTTCTAAATTTGTAACTGAGTATTCTACCAGTCATTCAGTTTGTATTCCTCTTTATTTTTAGAGCTCTTGGGAGTTAGCCCCAATGGCGGTCTGGGCTCTCCAAGATGGGGGGGGGGGGTTTCAGATCCTATCTTATCTTATCTTAATAAATGATCGGGACATTATGATAATTATCAAAATGAGAATAATGTAATTCTGAGTCCTATTTTGACCCTGAAACTGTTAACACCCCTGTACTAGGGTATCTGTGCTATGTGTGGAGTTAAAATGTTGAAAACAAAGGAGTACAAGCAGTCATCAGTTTAAACACAGTGAAATCTTAACTTAAAACGTGAATTGATCATCGAACAAAAGTGATAATTGATTATACATACATTTGATTTGATTGATTGATTAGTGATTCAAAATGTCTGAGCGTAAGGTATTGAATAAGTACTATCCCCCGGACTTCGATCCGTCCAAGATCCCTAAGTGTAAAGAACCCAGGAATAAAACCTTCTGTATTCGTCTCATGGCACCATGTAACATGCGTTGCACTACATGCGGGGAATATATTTACAAGGTAGATATTCATTGACTTATTCATCCTCGCATTCATTTATTCATTATTCATTTATTCATTTATTCATTTATATATTTATTCACTAATATTCATTTATTCATTTATTCATTAATATTCATTTATTCATTTATTCATTTATTCATTTATTCATTTATTCATTTATTCATTTATTCATTTATTCATTTATTCATCCTGTTATCTTTTAAAATTTTTTATTTTTAGTTTTTTAGTTTTAGAGGACACTAGGCAAAAAATATTAATTCTCTCAATCTACGAGCTCTACAGTAACAATAGCTTGCTAAAAATACTTTGGCTTGGCAAATTGATAAAATCTGAATGGATCAGCTGTTCCTCACCAGGAAATTGAGAATGTGAGCCGGAAGTGCGTCAATTAGACAAGGAATAGAGCAGCAGACATTCTGACGAGCTTGTATAGTAGAGAGAATTGATATATTCACCCATCCTATATTTTCTCTTTTTCTTACTTCATTTTCTTTAGTCATTTTTAAAAATTTTTAATTTAAGATTGTTTTAATTTATTGTGTAATGTAGGGTCGTAAGTTCAATGCCCGTAAAGAAGATGTGGATGATATGAATTATCTTGGTTTGAGAATTTACAGGTTTATTTTACTTTTAAATCTTCCTTATAAGGACCAAGGTTATTAGGCAAGGAAAGGTAACTGCGGTCGCGTATACTCTGTGTACACATTGAAACCAGTTCTCTCTGGGTGGTATTTGTAGACAAGAATAGATGATCAGTGTTCGTTTAGTATCCGAGGAGGATTAAGGCATTTAATTTCATTGATTTCTTATGTGAAAGATGGATCTCATGTCAGCTTTTGTTTAGTTAATAGCCCAGAGACAGTACACTGCAGTACAAAAAATGCGCACACCTCTGAAATAACTTTCTTTACATTAATTCTTTGATAAAGACTATCGTTGTATTTTTTAATCACCCTCCAATAAATTGAATCCTTAGTTCGATTGAAATTGCGGAAGATAACATTTATGTCTGTTATTTTCTTTTTATAACAAAAAAGGGCACCATTGGGAATCTGACATGTATTTCCTTTATTTTGTTCAAATTCGATGCCAAATTTGTCCTGTATATTATTACTCAGAAATATAATCGAGAAATTGATACCCTGCTTCTTTCCTCAAATTTAAGTACTGTCCCTTTATTTTGTCCATAGGTTGTCTGTCTGAGATCTTCAAGCAATAACTTTATGCGTGTGTCAAATTTGATATCTCTTGTTAATAGAAATATAATTAGGAAATTGATACCCTACTAGTTCGCTCAAATTTAAGTACAGTCCCTTTATCTTGTCCAGGTTCTACATCAAGTGTACTGCCTGTGTGTCAGAGATCTGTTTCCGGACGGACCCGGAGAATACCGACTACGTTCTAGAGTCAGGTTCACTTTTTAAATTTTTATTGTTTTAAGGGACTATTGACGTAACGAGGTGCATCCCGATACACAATAGTACCTCGGACTCCTTTATCTCATCAAAATTATGGAAGATATCTTAGTTTTCTGGCTTTATAAGTGTGTAATTCTTATAATTTCTCCATTGATTCTGAAACTCAAGAAATGTGCAAATTCCTTTAACAGAGAAACCTCAATTAGAAAAACACAGTTTTTCAAAACAAAAACATTGTTATCTAATACATACTTAATCACACAAAGCTTTGAGGGGTACCGTTGTAAATCGGCATTGCCATCTTTGGAATATCTGTCCCTTTAAATTGGAATAACGCTTACAGTCCCTTTAAATGGATTTAGATTTGGTTGGTTGCCTATATGGAGTCTGGTTGAATAAGCAGTTTAAAGTTGAGCTATTTCATTGTTAGAAAATAATATGTTAGCGGAACTTTCGTTGTAATTTCAAGTCACATTTCACAAAAAAGTGACGTGTCTGATTCACAGCGCTTTTTCTGATAAATTTATTTTTAAATAGTGTTTTTTCCTATAAAATTGGAATGCGGATTTCATGCTTCAGAAACTATGGAGGAAATTGCGAGAATTATTTTGTCTAAAGTAAGAAAAAGTAAATATCTTTCACAGCATCAGATATTGGTAAAAAGGGCATGACTATTCTATAAATGGAAAACAGTGCTTAGGATCCGGATCTGAATCCGTTGGATCTGCAAGATTTTGGCTTCCTGGATCCAGATCCGCAAAAATATGCGGATCCACAATTTTTTAACGAAATAAACTGTATCCGGATTCCAGTGCGGATCCAGGATCCGGATCCGCATCAAAATTAAATGGATCCTAAGTAATGATGGAATGTGACTTGAAATTACGTCCACTCTACAATCTATATAATCCATCATTTTATATTAATTTGATTAAAGCAGAAAAAGCAACTAGTCGTTATAGAACGAGGTAGGTGGTGTGCAGTGTGCAATATGCAGTCTGCAGAGTACTTATATTGTGTACCCGCTTACATCAAACTGCCTCCGAAGTTTCGTTGAACAAGCGTCTGTTGTTCAAGTAAATTCAAACTTTATTTGTGAGATATTTCAGCAACCCAGTATATCTTATGCTTTACGTCTACAACCCCTGTCAGTTTAAATCTTTTGTTTTCAACCATCATGATTACCGTTGTGTAGGAGCTACTCGTAACTTCGAGGCCTTGAAGCGCGCTGAAGAGCAGGCTGAGCGCGAAGATCGCGCACACAAAGAAGAACTAGAGAACAATCCAATGAAACAACTGGAGGTGGGTGGTGGAGGACATTTATTTTGATCATTGATCATTCCATTGAGTTGCTGTGTTCTTTCGTTTGATCCTCTGAATACTTTAATTTGTTAGTTTTATTAGTTGATTGATTGATATGGGGGATAAACGTATAATATTTATTTTTGAGGCTACATAATTTCTGGGGGGGATTTTTCCAGAAAATAAACACCCTTACCACGAATAATAAATAGAATCCATCTAATCCCTTTAATCTCTTTAATCTTGGATTTGTTTAGGAGAGAACCCAGGCGAGTAAGAATGAGATGGAGCTGGCGGAGTCCCTGGACGAGCTGAGGGAGCTCAACAGGAGAACCGTCTCTGTAGACTACACGTCCATGCTTAAAACGTTAGTATTGGTTTTAAAGGGATTGTTCCCGAGTTTTAATTTTATCTTGGACAACTAACAACGGTATTCTTACGATATAATTAATTAAATTATCAGAGAAATGTTGCTTTATATCTTTATATCTGGAGTTGTTTTAAATACAACTGTCTAATTAGGTACAATCTCAGTAGACTACACGTCCATGCTTAAAACGTTAGTATTTGTTTTGAAGGGAGTGTTGAAGGGGTAAAAAGTTTTTAAAAAAGATGAAAAACAAATGTCTTCTTAAAAAATTTCATTCTAAACCCCCGGATTTTTTAGAATCTTTTTTAAAAATATACTTGGTTGTCATCCATTTTTTTTTTTCGATATGTTTAAAACAATGGGTCAATTTAACTGTGTCAAGGGTTACTTGACGAGGGATTTCTAGGTATGAATTTGCATCAGTATCTTCAAACAATTAGAGACAACTGTTGTTAAATGTTACTTTTGAGAATCGTCGATGGCATGCTTTAAATAAGTTCAACTGCTACTTGCCTAGGAGAAAGCTGACAATGATTTTATTGAACTCTCCCTTTAATTTGTATTATATTTAGTGAACCCTCCTTTTAATATGTATTATATAAAGTAAACTCTCCCTTTAATTTGTATTATTTATAGTGAACAGTTCTTTAAAATAAATTATATTTAGTAATCACTCCCTTTAGTTTGTATTATATTTAGTGAACCCTCTCTTTAATTTGTATCATTTAGTGAAGACTTATTTAATATAAATTATTCTTAGTGAACCCTCTCTTTTATTTGTATTATTTTAAGTGAACCCTTCCTTTAATTTGTATATATTTAGTGAACACTCCCTTTAATTTGTATTTTCTAAAGTAAATCCTTCCTTTAATATGTATAATATTTAGTGAGCACTCCCTTTAATTCGTATTTTATTTAGTGAACCTTTAATTAGTATTATATTTAGTGAACACTTCTTTAATATAAATTATATTTAGTGAAAACTCCCTTTAGATTGTATTATATTTAGTGAACACTCAGTTGCGAGCAGCCCACAGGACAGAGAGGTTATCTCAACAATACTCCGCTCTGCGGAGCGCGCAGAGCCCTGTGTGAAATAAACATGACTCACCCTATTAACAAACAGTATTTAGTGTACATTCCCTTTAAAATAAATTATATAAAGGTACGAGGATGCCCGAGCTGCTGCTATTGAAGCGGAAGAGAAGGCTGATGAGGATTTTGTGAAAGCAATCTTCAGCAAATCCGGAGATGTCAAGGTAAGTAAAAAGATGAAAAAAATCAAATAAAAAAATAATGCCATTGAAAAACTATAATTTATAGATTAACAATAACACAAATAGAACACTGGATGTCGTCTCTTCAAGATGTTGGGCTTTTTCGTTCACAATAACCTTGAGGCAGAAGCCCAAAGGAGTTCCGCACAGGCAGCGCATGGTCTCTCTCTGTCTTCAAATTCAACGCTGCCTGCGCGGAACTCTTTTGGGCTTCTTCCTCAGCCCGTTATTGCGAACAAAACCCTTAAACCTTGGAAAGACGACATCTAGTGTTCTATCTGTGTTGTTAGTAATCTATGGTATTAAGAAATAAACTTGAACATTAAGAAAGTACAAGAATAAGGAAGGATAATTGTTGATCAAATCTTTAATATATCTCAAACTTAGCTGAGAATGTATAATCCCATACAGGGGTTTATCACTGCCATAATCTATATAATAAAGTTCTTCGATCATATATATATATATATATATGTTAGCTATAGTTGGCTAAACGGCTGGACCAAATGGGCTGACGTTCAGTTTTTTAAAGCTAGTAAATAAATATATCCATGCGCAGTAAATAAATATATCCATGCGCTAGGTGAAGAGGATACTGGATGAGTCTAGTAGCGGAAGCGAAGAGGAAGTCAAGGAAAATAAGAAACAAAAACCTGATAAACCAACAGATCATCTTACAGGGTAAAAATTATTTAAGGGTTAAAAACAGGAGTGTTGTTGTTTTAGAATTTTCCCCCGCTGCTTTTTTAAGATATGGAGGAAAAAATGAAAAATTGGACATCAGGCAATTTTTTTCATTCTTTTTGATACTTTTTTATTTTCCCCTAAATATCATTTATTTTGAGCAAGCATATTTACTTTCTGAAAAAAATGATTTTTTCAAAAGGGGGGCCGGGGGAAATGATTTTTTGAGAAAATATACACTCCTGTCATTAAAAAAGAGTGGCAAGTGACTCTTTATGACTCCAGCAAAGGAACAATAGAATCCGTCACGTAAATATTTCAAGTTCCTCAGCATTAAATAAAATGTTCTTTAATAGATTTTGGGGAATATTTACAAACAAAACCTCTAACGTGAACTTTATAGTTTCTCACAGAAGAGTTGACAAGACAGCCAAACTGGGAATAATTAAACCGATCATAAAGAGACCGCAAAGATAGCAAAGACCAATTCACAACGGTACCCTTTAAAGTTTTGTCTGAATGAGAAGAATTAGATTTAATGTTAATAATTTTGAAAACTGATCATTTTCAATTGTGGTTTCTCTGCAAAAAGACATGTGCAATTGCGCATGCAGGAAAACATTTAGGAATTAGCAGAATTAAACACTTTTATTACCTATAAAACTGGCAATATCTTCCTTGTTATTGATCAGATAAAGATTTCAAGGGTACCGTTGTAAATCGGGTGTTGCCATGGGTGCATGAAAGGTCACTTCAAACTACGCTTACGGTCCCTTTACACGACTCAGTAGAATTTTACTCTGTATTGTTTTAAATTAAAACTTTCTGTTCAGACCCGAGAAGAAAGTTGTAGAGAAGAAGGTCTGGGAGAAAAGTATCGGAAGTCTCGGCTCCAACAAGAAGGGTCTAGGTATTCTTGTCAAGAAGCCGGCAGCCAAGAATAATCATGACTTCAAGAAGCCTAATGTTGCCGCCGCCAGGCCTGCAGCCAGCCAGCCAACTCAACATAATAATGTGGGAACTAGTGCGGCAACACAAACAGCTGTAGCTGGCGGTCTGGGCCTTTTAGGCGCGTACAGCGATTCCGGAAGCAATTCAGAATAATTAAAATGATTGCATTTTTTTGTAAAGTAATTGTTTCATAATTGAAAAAAGAACAATTTTTGTAATGCGATGTAATCATTAATTGTAGATGTGTCTAGTTAACTGTCTTAATCAAATTAAAACTTTTCCACTTTCATTTAAATTGCAAATTAAATATTTTCAGAGAGAAAATGTTGTGGAACTGCGTAACTAAACCATTATTTGGATTAACACTAAAACAGGAAAAATAGTTAAAAAATTATCGTTGAATTAAATTGCTTAATAATCTAAATTTTAGAAAAACAAACTTTTATCGCAAAATTTTGATTTAAATTAATAAGTATTTTAAGTATAAAAGCATACTGAGCTGATTTCTTTGAAAAAATTGTATTTTCATTTTTTTTTGATCTTATTAAAATCTAACCCCTAATTCTGTAAAAAAAGGGGCCAATTCTCCAGGCTTTGGGAGTTCTCAATCTTGAAGAAAATAATAGTTTTTTTCTTCCTATTTGAACTTTTAATTTGAACTTCTAATTTTCGCAATATAGTGAGCAAAGAAAATCAATAGTATATAAAGGGATACCCACAAAGAATTAGAGTTCAAAGACGATTGGTCTGTTTCTTAATTTTTATGATTCTTTGCAACTGTAAAGTTGTTTCTTTTCTTTTTTCTAATCATTGAGTAAGGCATAAAAAGATTTTTGTTCTAGACAGAAGACTGGAATCGGCAAATTTATAGAGCTTTTAAGGTCGTCATTACAGTCTAATCTTTTGGGGTACCCTGTTTGATAGGCTCTTTTCAAAATTAAATTTTTGAAATTAAATAAAAGGCTTAATAGTTTCGATTAGATAAAAATTTATTTTTTTTAAATATTTTTTTTGCTGTAATTTTTTTAAACAATTAAAAATTACTATCCCTTACTGCAGAGTGTACGAAGATACTTTAAACCCAAACAGAAGGAAGCATTTTTTGATGTGGAAGGTGTTGTTAACAAGGATATCACGCTTTTTAGGTAGCTCATCATATTGTATTATATATATTATTTTAGATTACATTAGCTTGGAGACGCAGCTTTGTCTGCAAACAAAACATTCTGGATTAAATTCAACAACCAAGACTGCTTCTAGGTCTGGTGTTCCCTGTTCTACTTTCCAGGCCTGTCCTTTAGGTCCACTGGATAGTATAACTGTCATTTCTATAGACAGTTTCATATGCATTCCATTACTAAACCTTAACATTTTTTCCATATACCTCTCACTATCCGTGAGATGAGAACCAGATTGTCCGCAAAGAACAATGCAGATATTACTTGGCCATTGAAGTTTATACCTTCCTTCATGGCATGTAATCATTCTACAAGTACAGCTATTGGTGATTGGCCGCACCCCTGCTTCACTCCTTTGGTGAAGCATAGGGGCGCCCTCAAACCCATTGTAGTACATAGGTTGTTTACTGACTTTTCCACCAAACCCCAGGGTATCTAGCTTGGTGTAAAGGAGTTCGCAGTTCACCCAGTCATATGCCTTGGCAATGTGACAGAACGCTATTGACACTGTATGTCTTTTCTTTTTAGGCTTCCTAATTGCTGACAACAACATAAACACAAAGTCTGATGTTGACCGGCCTGACCTAAACCCATACTGCACTTATCCATAGTATCCATTTTCCTTGCAGATTGCGTCCATCCTTGTATGCATTATTTTGGTAATCACACTCAATATATACACAAGACTGTCAAGAGGGCGTTTTTTGATACTAGCAAGGAGGGTTATTTCTTATCTATCAATGTCATTCTGCCAACTAACAATGTTTCTGGTACTTTGCCTTCCTGGAAGGTTTTGTAAATAACTTTGGTTAGCATGGTCACAAAGCAGGGACAGGCATATTTAAGCATGGCTACTGAGACATTGTCCACTCCTGGAGCTCTCTGTAGCTTCATCTTCTCTTTAACTTCTCTGATCGGTGGTTTGTTAACATACTTGGTTTTCATGGATTGTGCTGTCTACTGTGTCTTTCATCCATTCTTGCCACCCTATTAGATGTTTTACGTCCATCTCTTTGATGAGCTGTTCTCCTCTGTGAGAATATTGCTGATCCTTCTTCCAGAACTATCTCTTCAATTCTTGCTCTGTTAGTAGCTAATCTTCCTTGTGCATCCTTCACTACCCTTAGTATCCCTCTCTTTTTAACAGTTCTTTTGACTAATCTCCAGAACTGCTTAGATGTCATGGATGCTCTTGAATGCAGTCTTTGTCAAAGGCAGCGTTTTGTTATGGTTGGTATTCCTCCACCGTTCTTTTCTTTTCTAAACCTCTCTTTGGAGTACCATGTGAATTTATCTAGACTGAATAGGTCGTCATTCAACCCATGTCTAAGATACGTTTTACTTACGCCAAGTACATGTATGTTCTCGTCATTCATGATCTCCATTATCATGTCTTGTTTAAGGTCTTGTTTAGAAGGCCGTTGTGGTTCCATATTGCACAGTTAATGGTATTTTGCAATGGAGCTGTATTAGGCCTGTGCCTATTACTTCTGTTCTGATTTGCACAACGTCCATTCCTGGACTTACCCATTAGAGGTCTCTGTAACATAGCCTTCAGGACATGATACTTTGACTGTAGGTTGAATGTTAATAATAATAATAATAATAATAATAATAATAATACCCATTACTGGTCTCTTTTAGGGCTTATCAGTTCTGTAACATAGCCTTCAGAACATGATACTTTGACTGTTGGTTGAATGATAACAATAATAATAATTATAATAACTCTTTACCCTAGATATGAGGATTTGAAGAAGGTAAGACTGAAGAATATGCTTGGAATGAGTATGCTGCCACTCTGGGCATACTTGGGTAAATAATCTTTATTTATTTTTATTTTAGGGGTGTTATTTTTCATGATAACCCGCCTCCACCTTTGAACTGGTGTGAGACCGTGTTTTAAAAGCTTTTAACAACATCCTAAAAATTGTTATTTTTGGTTTTAAAAAAGTAAAAATGTTGAATTTGAACTAGTTTTACTGCAGAAGGCAAACGCGCTTGTAGCTTTTTTTGGCATGGTTCAAAAACACGAAAAGTCAAAGAAAAATGGATGCTTTTAAAATGTTTAATTCCCTTGTTTTATTTTAGGTTACTTTGCGTTTACATTAAGGAGTAAATTAGAGCCTTTTCGTGAAGAAGTGAATAATAATGTTAGATATAACTTCCTACTCGATAATGTTACAAAGGTATTGTTTTCGTGAAGAAGTGAATAATAATGTTAGATATAACTTCCTACTCGATAATGTTACAAAGGTATTGTTTTCAGTAAAAAAATTAAGTGTTTTTTGTTTGTTTTTAAGTTTGGTACTGTCATATCATCAAATTTAAAGAATTTTGTTAAAATTAAAATATAAAAAATAAACATGTCAAAAAAACTTCGGTCCTGTTTGTATCTTTACTTTTGCAGTCATTGATATTTTCTTACTATTGTTTTTTTTTGTAAATTGCTATTTTTTATTCTTATTTTTTGTAATTCTTGAAATTATCGTTCGGTCTATATTAATTTTTTTGTCTTTTCTAGGCAAGTGTGGGTGTTGGGGCTGGATTTTTCTTGTTTGGTGCAGGTTCGAAATAAAAATAGATTTTATAATTTATATTTGCAAAACTATTTTAAATGTTTACAATAAATAAAATTATTTTAAATGTTTACAATAAATAAAAGTGTTTTAAATGTTTACAATAAATAAAATTATCTTAAATGCTTACAATGAATAAAATTGTTTTAATGTTTACAATAATTAAATTTTTTTGAAATGTTAACAATAAATTAAATTGTTTTAAATGTTTGCAATAAATAAAATTGTTTTAATTTTAATAATAATAAGATTTTTTTTTAAATGTTTACAATAAACAAAATCGTTTTTATGTCAACAATAATTAAATTGTTTAAATGTTTACAATCAATTAAACTGTTTAATTGTTTATTGTTTACTATGTATTAAATTGTTCAATAAGAAATTAAAAAAATAATTACAATCAATTTTAAGGTTTAACATCTTACTGGATGCTTAGAACTATGAATACAGTCAGGAAACTTGTCTTAAGAAAAGGTTAAAAATGTTTTCTAATTTTTGTTATTTGTATTTACATTATTTACATTATTTTGATGTTATTAAACTGTTAGTTTCAGTTTTGTTAATTTATTTTATATCACAGATTGTTGTGTCAGCTAAACTAGGAACTCTTTGTTATTTTATATCACAGATTGTTGTGTCCGCTAAACTAGGAACTCTTTGTTATTTTTTATCACAGATTGTTGTGTCAGCTAAACTAGGAACTCTTTGTTGTTTTATATCACAGATTATTGTGTCCGCTAAACTAGGAACTCTTTGTTATTTTATATCACAGATTGTTGTGTCAGCTAAACTAGGAACTCTTTCTTATTTTTGCCACTTTCATTCATTTTACTATCAGACATTTTAATGCTTTTTTTCCGTGAATTTGGAAAAACAAAATCAGAAAATTTTATTAAAAACTCCTCACCGGCCAAAAAAATGTTCTGAGCCTCTTTGTATTTTAAAGATTTTTTGTATCTAATTCCATCTTTTTTCTAAGGTGGAAAGTATGTTGGTATTCAAACCTATGGTCTTCTAGGTAATGTGTATAAATTAGTCAAATAGATTAAAAATTACTCAAATTAAAACAAAGATTGACCAAATTGAATAAAGAAATAACTCAAAAAAAAAATATCTAATTTAATAAATTAATTGAAAATCATTTTGGAAGTTAATCTTGTTTTCACAAATGATATTAACTTGAAAAATCAACTTAAAAGTATTTAAAAGTTTTAAAAAAGAATATCAGTTAGTCTACTGTACAGTGTACAGTGTACGGTGTACAGTGTACACTGTACACTGTACACTGTACAGTGTACACTGTACACTGTACACTGTACACTGTACACTGTACACTGTACACTGCACAATGTACACTGTACACTATATTCTGTACAATATACACATTCACCAAGTATTTTCCTATATATTCTTTAAATCTTTTACCCCAATATGTCAGAAATAATCAAATATTTACAAATGAGGAAATATAGGATTTTTGGAAAAACTAAATAATCTAATAATGCGCGTAGTGTTTCCCCTGTCACAGTAATTTTAGGATGACGTTTTAGATTCATTCTATTTTGTTCTCTTCTATTCTGTTCAATTCTATTCTATTATTTTCGAGCTTATTTAATTCTATTCTATTATTTTCTATTCTATTTCTATTGGTATATAAATATATGGTATTATCAGGGAAGAATGATGGGTTTATGAATGTCCCTGTGGTTCACTGTAGCGGGATTCAGCATAAATTTTACGGAAAACATCGATTCTTTCTCAAGGTAAAATGAGCAGAGTAATTAGTATTTTTCTACAAGCCACACAAATAAAGATTTGATGCGATTTTGCCCTGGTTTGGTTTTAAAATTACTGAACTTTCACTGTCATGCTTTTACCTCTGGTCAAATAGATTCTAGTGCAATAGATGGCAACGTAGAATTTGTACACTCAGTATAGTTGTATTCTGTCGTCACAAGTGTCAATTCAGTTTTTGTGTCCGACAAAATTATCAATAATAGTGATAATTTTAGAATAAAGTGCTTATCTTACAGTAAAATTAGTGCAATTTGATGTGTTCTTTAGTTACTGTTTTTACACTTTTTTATTTAATCTTGGAAAACATGTCAACTAATGTGAGACAATCCCTACAGGGTGGTNGGATGATATTTTTTCTCTCAATTTGATTTTCTTGATGTAAGATTCCCAATCATCACCCCCCCCCCCATAATTCTGTTACACTTCTCCCCTCTCCCTGATAGGTTTTTTTTCAATTACCCCATCGCCTCTAAGTTATTTACTCTTGGAACTGTTAAAATTTGAATTAATTCGCTAAAAACCTATTCACTCGTCAAAAAAAAAAAATAACATTTATTATTTTAGGTTCGAGATCACAGTTTTAAATATTCCTTTAACCTCGAGGACGGAATATTCAGCAACCGACCTCTATTCGATCGAACCGTCGGCATCTCAAGAACTATTTGATCAGACCTGATCAATCATAACTCAATCCTGCAAAAATAAAGAATACTTGCAATGTTATTCATACAGATGAACCCGATGTAATTAGATTTTGTTTGAAAATGATAATTCCAGAAAAATGTCGAAATTAAAAGTTTCCACGGACTTCGAGGTGGACAAATGTGTTGGAGCACTTTACACGGGTAAGGAGTGCTTAAAGGGATTGTCCACTAAGCCTAAAGGGATTGTCCACTAAACTAAAAGGAATGTCCATTAAACTTAAAGGAATGTCCATTAAACTTAAAGGGATTGTCAACTAAACTAAAAGGAATGTCCATTAAACTTACAGGGATTGTCCACTAAACTTAAAGGGATTGTCCACTAAAATTAAAGGGATTGTCCACTAAAATTAAAGGGATTGTCCACTAAAATTAAAGGGATTGTCCACTAAAATTAAAGGGATTGTCCACCAAACTTAAAGGGATTGCCCACTAAACTTGATTGATTGTTTGATTGTTACATCTAGGTGGAACCGTGGAGTGGGTCGATGATCTAATATTTACCTCGTCTAACGGTGTTGTCAATATAGTTCAGGTCAGAAATACAGGGGTATATACTCCCTTTCAGATCTTATTATTATAATTATCATTATTATATTTTCTAAATTACCCACCCCCGGCCTGGGATGTCCTTGGGAGGAACTTGATAAAAATATTTTTGATAATTTAATTTATTCATTTCCCTTGAAAATTATTTTTGTTTTTCTCCGATTCAGCAAATAACCCATGATAAAAGATTTGAGCCACTGTACAATGTGCAATTTACATGTTAAGAATAGTTTTGTATTGCACACTGTACAGTGTACATGTTTGCACACTGTACAGTGTACATGTTTAGAATAGTTCTGTACTACACACTGTACATGTTTAGAATAGTTCTGTACTGCACACGGTTACATGTTTATATTAGTTCTTTACTGCACACTGATCATGTTTAGAATAATTCTGTACTGCATACTGTTAAATGTTTAGATTAGTTCTGTACTGCACACTGTACATGTTTAGAATAGTTCTGTACTGCACACTGTACATGTTTAGAATAGTTCTGTACTGCACACTGTTACATGTTTAGAATAGTTCTGTACTGCACACTGTACATGTTTAGAATAGTTCTGTACTACACTGTATATGTTTATATTAGTTCTGTACTGCACACTGTACATGTTTAGAATAGTTCTGTGCTACACTGTACATGTTTAGATTAGTTCTGTACTGCACACTGTACATGTTTAGAATAGTTCTGTACTGTACATTATACACTGTACATGTTTAGAATAGTTCTGTATTACACACTGTACATGTTTATATTAGTTCTGTACTGCACACTGTACATGTTTTGAATAGTTCTGTACTACACTGTACATGTTTATATTAGTTCTGTACTGCACATGTACATGTTTAGAATAGTTCTGTACTGTACATTATACACTGTACATGTTTAGAATAGTTCTGTACTACACACTGTACATGTTTATATTAGTTTTGTACTTCACACTGTACATGTTTTGAATAGTTCTGTACTAGACTGTATATGTTAATATTAGTTCTGTACTGCACACTGTACATGTTTAGAATAGTTTTGTACTGTACATTACACACTGTACATGTTTAGAATAGTTCTGTACTACACACTGTACATGTTTATATTAGTTCTGTACTGCACACTGTACATGTTTAGAATAGTTCTGTACTGCACACTGTACATGTTTAGAATAGTTCTGTTCTGCACACTGTACAAGAAGAGGAAGACCCTGTACTAAATTTTACAGCAACGAAGGAAAATACTAAAATTACATTGATAACAGGTAATTCAATGATTATATACGTATTTTCAAGTGACCCTCCGTGACCCTCTGCATGTCCGATTCACAACAGTATCCTCTAAACCGTTATCTAAGTATTTTCTTCATTTTCTCGGCAGCATAAGTCCGCAAACAACTTTTAAGAGAAAACCCCTGATTAAATTTACAGTCAAATAAACTAGAATTATTCATCCTTGATCAGACCAGGGTTTCCTTCAAAGAAAACAGACGCTGGAAATTACGTTTGATTTTTCTTGAATTTGGTTTTACCAAATCTGTCAACAATAATGTGTTCACATCCTCAACGTATTTCAGTACTTGGTGTTAATAAAAATTATGGGCCAATCTCAGTTTTAAAGGTAATCATAATTTCACACTGTGGGCCAATCTCAGTTTTAAAGGTAATCATAAGTTCACACAGTGGGCCAATCTCAGTTTTAAAGGTCACATAAGTTCACACAGTGGGCCAATCTCAGTTTTAAAGGTCACATAAGTTCACACAGTGGGCCAATCTCAGTTTTAAAGGTCACATAAGTTCACATAGTGGGCCAATCTCAGTTTTAAAGGTAATCATAAGTTCACACAGTGGGCCAATCTCAGTTTTAAAGGTCACATAAGGCCTTTTTTATTCCTTGTCTAATAAAGTCATGCCGAGAATATTTGAATGTAGTATATATGCTAATATGGTTGCCTAAGCACAGGATTTAAGGTCTGGATTACCAATATACCGGACCGAAGACTTGGAACCTATGAAAAGTTATCTCTCGTATGATGTATTTACACATATAAATCCCCCCCTCATGAACTAATTGACTTAATTTTTTTTATATACACCTACTGATCCTTAGAATGCAAGTATAAAATAAAATAATAAACAGGGTGCCAAAAAATGCGTCTTGAAAGTTTTTTTTAGTTTGTCGTAAAAGTATGATTTAATTTGCTCCAGGTGCATATTTTGTGTGGAGGAGGAAGAGTTCTAGGAACAGGAGGAGCTGATGGAACCATGAAGGTTTGGGATTTAGAACATCAGTATTATACTCATAACTTCAGGTTAGTCTTATTTCTAAGGGATTGCTCACCTGAGCTATAAATAATTCTAATAAATTCTAATTCTAGTAAATTTAAATACAAGTTTTTGTAAATCGCCATCTTGGTTTTCATGACAAAATGTATTCATCAAGTAGACTCTCAGGAATATCTTTAAAGGGGCTGTAAAGGAAAACTGAAAGGGGTTAAAAGCTAAAAACCTAAGCATTTTTAGGAGTTGATCGAGACCTGTAAGAGTTCTATCTGATGTTCTTGTCTCGAGAAATTGATATAAAACGGTGTCAAAATTATACCAAAACTTATATGTGTAAAATTTGGTAAAGATTCTAAGTTTTAAGCAGATTATATTCAGCAAATACGCAACCAATCTGAAAACGAAGATATCCCAGAGGAGCCTGAAAAATTGAGGTTTGCTTCCATTATTATTTGAATTTAGTAATTTTTCATTTTTAATAGATATAATTGATAATATAATATATACGTCCGTATCACGTGACCAGAGTTTCCACTAATGGCAGTGCAGTACAATTGTCACTTGATACATACTTTTTACATATATAAATTTTGGTATAATTTTGACACAGTTGTATATCGATTTCTCGAGACAGGAACATCAGATAGAACTCTAATAGGTCTCGATTAACGCCTGAAATGCTCAGGTTTCAGCCTATATCCCCTTTCATTTTTCCTTAACAGTCCCTTTAAGGAAAACAGCTCTCAAGTTTCTTAAAATCTTCTTGTATTTATTCGTTTACTATTATTTTGATAATAGTCCCTTAGTTTGAATTATTACAGGACAGGGAATGGAGTTTGTTCGGTTATAGAGTTCCATCCAGTCAAGGCAATCAATCAATTAATTAATCAATCAATCAAGCAATCAATTAATCAATCAATCAATCAATTATCCAATCAATTTATCTATCTATGTATCTTTCTAATCAATAACCTAACAATAAACCAATCAATCAATTAGTCTATCTCTCTATCAATAACGTAACAGTCAATCAATTAAGTGATTATGTGCGTACAGGATGATAATTGATTGTTTGCGTACTAGTTAATGTGCGTATCTGGGTTCCAGAGCGGAGGACTGTACGCTTGGGATTTGACAAATTCAAAACAGTTACATAATTTAGAGGGACATTACAGCGCTGTAACAGCTACTAAGGTTGGTGGTTCAGGAATCTAGGACATAACAGCGCTGTCACAGCTATCATTCATCCATCTATCTATCTAGTTATCTAGATTCATTTCATATATATCTACCTATCCATCCATCTACAGGGTGTCCTTTTAATATCGCCAATTTTAAAATTGCTGTAACTTTGTTATTGTTTGGAGTTTTTCCAATCAGTTAAAATATTTGAGTAGTCAAAATATGAACTTTTTGTTATATACCTGGATTCTTTACTTAGATCTATGTTTTTATCCATCTATCCATCTATTTATATATCCATCTATCTAGCTATCCATCTATCTATCTATCCATCTATCTCATCTTTCCATCCATACATCTACCCATCCATCCATATATTCATCTATCTATCCATCTATATATCCATTTATCTTTGTGTCTATCCATCTGTCTATCTATATAGCTATTCATCATTTTATCTACTTAACCATCCATAAAATTATATCTTTCTGCCTTTCTATCTATCTATCCATCTATCTATCCTGATGGTTGCGAAAGCATGAGACCACTTGTATATCCAATACAATATATCTTTAAATGGTTGATATTTCTTCATATTTGACCATATCTATCTATCCATCTATCTATCCTGATGGTTGCGAAAGCATAAGACCACTTGTAGATTCAGTACAATATATCTTTATATTTATCTATCTATCATAAGACCACTTGCAGATTATTTACAATATATCTTTATATTTATCTATCTATCATAAGACCACTTGTAGATTCAGTACAATAAATCTTCATATTTATCTATCTATCATAAGATCACTTGTAGATTCAGTACAATATATCTTTATATTTATCTATCTATCATAAGACCACTTGTAGATTCAGTACAATATATCTTTATATTTATCTATCTATCATTAGACCACTTGTAGATTCAGTACAAAAAATCTTCATATTTATCTATCATAAGACCACTTGTAGATTCAGTACAATAAATCTTTATATTTATCTATCTATCATAAGACCACTTGTAGATTCAGTACAATACATCTTTCATATTTATCTATCTATCATAAGACCACTTGTAGATTCAGTACAATAAATCTTCATATCTATCTATCATGAGACCACTTGTAAATTCAGTACAATATATCTTTATATTTATCTATCTATCATAAGACCACTTATAGATTCAGTACAATATATCTTTATATTTATCTATCTATCACAAGACCACTTGTAGATTCAGTACAATAAATCTTAATATTTATTTATCTATCATTAGACCACTTGTAGATTCATAACAATATATCTTCATATTTATCTATCTATCATAAGACCACTTGTAGATTCAGTACAATAAATCTTCATATTTATATTTAAGATTCTTTAATTAATTTACTCAACCTTGAGAAACCTTTTATCATAATTTTTATATGTTCAGGAAATTACTACAGAATGTTTAAAACTAGATCATTTGTGAAGAATGCTGCTTAACACTAGTCTATATGCAAAGGAAGCTGCATTAAAATGGTCTATATGCAAAAAAGCTGCTCGAAACTAGTCTTTATGCTAAGAAAGCTAATTGAAAGAAGTCCATATGTTAAGGAAGCAGCTTTAAACTATTATATATGCTAAGAAAGCTCCTTATGACTAGTAATTTTGTTCAGGAAACTACTTGAATCAAATGTTGGCTCAGAAATATCAACTTTACAAAGCTACAAAGACAACATTTATGCAGCAACTGCAGGTATAAAGAATTTAAGCATCAAATATCTATATTATATATTTTCTTTCTTCATTTCTACCCATCTATCTATCTAATAGATCTATCTTCATATCTATCCATTTATCAATCTATTAGATCTATCTTCATATCTATCCATATATATATCTAATAGATCTATCTTTATATCTATCCATTTATCAATCTGTTAGATCTATCTTCATATCTATCCACATATCTGTCTAATAGATCTATCTTCATATCTATCCATTTATCAATCTACTAGATCTATCTTCACATCTATCCACCTATCTATCTAATAGATCTATCTTCATATCTATCCATTTATCAATCTATTAGATCTATCTTCACATCTATCCACCTATCTATCTAATAGATCTATCTCCATATCTTTCCATCTATCTATCTAATAGATGTATCTTCATATCCATCCATCAATCTATTTAATAGATCTATCTTCATATCTATCCATCTATCTGTCTAATAGATGTATCTTCATATCCATCCATCTTTTTATCTAATAGAACTATCTTCATATCTATCCATCTATCTATATAATAGAGTATTTTATATCTATCAACAGATCAGGAGCTGTTATCTATCTATCTATCTATCTATCTATCTATCTATCTATCTAACCATCTATAGAACAATGACCTTTACCTATCTATTTATCTATTTATCTATCTATCTATCTATCTATCTATCCATCTGTCTGTCTGTCTATATATCTATCTATCCATCTATCTATCTAACTATCTATCTATCTATCTATCTATCTATCTATCTATCTATCTATCTATTTTTTGACTATTTATCTATCTATCTATCTATAGATCAGAACCTACTATCTTTCTGCCCGGAGGACCTGAGTATTACCAACACTGTGGTGGGTAACAACGACGAGATCCTTGCCCTGGTTCACCTGGGTAGCTCCGCCTCCTCCCCTAGCACACCCTCCTCCTCTCATATGGCCGTAGCCTGCAACTCTCCTTTCATCCGCCTCTACAAGGTAGGTTTAACGGACTGTAGACTGCATTCAAAGTGATCCTCCATTTAATAAAAAAAAATTAATGATAAATAGATTACACTGTTCTGTAATCCTTGTATGTTAATCTCCAGCGCTGTTCTTCTATCCTTGCATGTTTTTATATACTCCACACCTGTTTTGCTATCCTTGTATGTTTTCATATACTCCACTGCTGTTCTGCTATCCTAATATGGTATATACTCCATTTCTCTTCTGCTATCCTTGTATGTTATGCTCCACTTCCTCCACTACTGTTCTGTTATCCTTATATGTTATATACTCCATAGCAGTTCTACTATACTTGTGTGCTGCTATCCTTCTATCTTATATACTCCACTGTGGCTCTGTTATTCTTTTATGTTATGTTATATACTTTACTGCTGTTCTTCTATTCTTGCATGTTATGTACTTCATTACTCTTCAGTCTTCAGCTATCCTTTTATGTTAAATTCGTTTTCACTGCTGTTCTTCTATCCTTGTATGTTATATATATATATATACTTCATTGCTTTTCTGCTTTCCTTGCATGTTATACTCCTCCTGTTCTGTTATCCTTCTATGTTATATACTCCACCGCTGCTCTGTAATTCTTTTAGTTATTTTATATACTCCATTGCTGTTCTGCTATTCTTGTATCTTATATACTCCACTGCTGTTCTGTTATTCTTTTATGTTATCTATACATAAATTTAGCTTGTCTGTCTGTCTGTTTGTTTTATACAATAAAAGTCAAAACGGCTGAACCGATTGGTCCTAAATTTTGTGTGGGACCTAAGTGACCCCAGGGAAGGTTTATGAATTTGTGTTTAAAGGTTTTTTATTTTGTAAAATTTTGAAAATGCGCGAAAAAAATATTATGAAATCCGCAAACTTTTTTGTTTTTGTTTTATACTGTACAAAGAGAAGATGCTCAGAGATAAAGCCACAATTAAAAGTTGAAATAGAAGATGTGCGCAAAGCGCCATAAATCTTAGTGTTATATACTTCACTTCTGTTCTGCTATCTTTGTATGTTATATACTCCACTGATGTTCTGTTATACTTGTATGCTATATACTCCACTGCTTTTCGGCTTTTCTTGTATGTTAAACTCCTGCTGTTCATTTATCCTTCTATGTTATATACTCAACTGGTGGTCTGTTATCCTTTTATTTTTTATACTCCACTTCTGTTATGCTATCCTTGTATGTTATATACTCCATAGCAGTTCTGCTATCCTTGTATGTTATAGAACTCACTGCTGTTCTGCTATCCTTGTATGCTAAATAACTCCACTGCTGTTCTGCTATCCTTGTATGCTATATAGACTCCAGTGATGTTCTGTTCCCCTTTTATTGTTATTTACTCCACTGCTGTTCTGTTATCCTTGTATTTTATATACTCTATTGTTGTTCTGATATCCTTGTTTGCTATAAACTCCACTAATGTTCTGCTATCTTTGTATGTTATATACTTCAACTTCACTGCTTTTCTGCTTTACTTGTATGTTAGACACTCCACTGCTGTTCTGTTATCCTTGTATGCTATATTATTATAATTATTAAATAAAATTGCTGGGGTTGTTCCTGGACCCAGGCAATCCCACCCAGCAGCCCTACCCCTATCGATACGCGTTTGGATTACGCCTGTGGCAGTCTGCTTTTCTGCTATCCATCTATGTAATACACTACTGCTGTTATTTGATCCTTGTATATCATATACGCTACTTCTGCTCTGCTCAATCCTAATCTGCTTTCCCGCTTAGAGTTAGTACATACACATAGAAATACCGTACTGCAATTATACATGATTGTACAATCTAAATCTTGTATCCTGGGCACAAATTCCTTGTTTGCAGTTATAACAAAAATATAAGATTGCTATCTAGGTCCCTGAGTACACATGTACTCTGTTACATGGACATAAAGATACAGTACTCTGTCTGGCTGTTAGTACACAAGACCCTACGCTCCTAGCCTCAGGAGGAAAGGATAGGTATAATTCAGTTATTACTATTATGACATTATTGTTGCTATTTAATATTACCTTTTTTGAAAAACTTTCCATTTGGTTAAAAAAGAATAATAAAAAGGAAAAAGGGAAATTTAAATGTTTGAAAACTTCCATCCATGAATTTTAGTTTTTTTTTCTTTCAAGATTCTAAGGCAAACGTTGATTTTTAACATTTTAAAACTTTTTATGTAAAGGGAGGTTAGAATCTGGAGGTTGAAGGCTGACCTTCTTAGCTGCCTAGTAGTTGGGACAGGACACACGGAGGCTGTCCAGGGAATAGTATTCACCAACCTCGCATCAACCTCACTATACTCGGTCTCAAAGGTCAGTCACAGGGAGAGTGGATCCATTCCGGTTTGATGCGGATCCGGACCTCAGAAAAGAGGATTTGGACCTGAATCCAACCTGAATAATGGATCCAAATCCTGAATCCGCCCAGTGGAAAAGGATCCAAATCCTGAATCCGTCCTGTAGAAAAGGATCCAAATCCTGAATCCGTCCTGTAGAAAAGGATCCAAATCCTGATTCCGTCCTGTAGAAACGGATCCAAATCCTGAATTCGTCATGTAGAAAAAGGATGCAGATCCTGAATCTGTCCTGTAGAAAAAGGATTCAGATCCTGAATCCGTCCTGTAGAAAAAGGATGCAGATCCTGAATCTGTCCTGTAGAAAAGGATCCAAATCCTGAATCCGTCCTGTAGAAAAGGATCCAAATCCTGAATTCGTCATGTAGAAAAGGAATGCAGATCCTGAATCTGTCCTGTAGAAAAGGATGCAGATCCTGAATCCGTCCTGTAGAAAAGGATCCAAATCCTGAATCCGTCCTGTAGAAAAGGATCCAAATCCTAAATCCGTCCTGTTATGCAGAAAAAGATCCAAATCCTAAATCCGTCCTGCAGAAAGGGATCCAAATCCTTAATCTGTCCTGTAGAAAAGGATGCAGATCCTGAATCCGTCCTGTAGAAAAGGATGCAGATTTTGAATCAGTTCTGTAAATAAAGGATTGGGATCCTTGAATCTGTCATGTAAAAAGGATTCGGGTCCTAAATTCGTCCCGTAAAAAGGTTCCGAATCCTGAAATTGTCCTGAAAAAAAATATTTGGATCCTGGATTCGTCATGTAAAATAAGGATCCAGATTCTGGATCCGTCATGGAAAAAAAATCTTGACTCTGGATCTTTAAATGATCGCTTGTACTACAGTAAAGATTGACTTATTTATGATAATCTATCGAGTCATCCACCCCATGGAAGTCAATGTCACGAATTTTCTTGAAATTTTGCACACAGCTAGTATGTTAAGAGAAAACATTAGATCCAAAATTAAATTAAAAATCTTCCTGTAAAATTTAATTTCATAGTTTGTAAAAAAGGCGTTTAAATTAGCTTGATATCTTGATTAACAAAAATGTAATTGCCAATTAAAGTACGCGAGGTCGGGCCGAAAATCGCCTCGAGGCCGGAACTTAAGGAGTCCATAACTAAGTAACCAGAGGCCACAGGAGCCTGAAATTTTGGATTTAAGGTTTTCTCATGATATGCTAGGTGAGTGCAACACCTTGACAATGACTTCCAGGTTTCTAAAAACTAGCCGAGTTCATGAAGAGTGACAGTATTGTGAAGATTGAATTATTTAGGATACTACAGTTAAGTTTTGGAATGTGAACTATGAAGCCGGCCAAATGTCAAGTTTAAGAACCGAAATTGCACATGAGAAGGTTGTATTTTATTACTATTCTATCTATCATTTGTACACAAATCCATCTATCTATCTATTTGCCATTTTCATATTATCAATAAAGGAATTGAGTCTTTGTCACAAACTCAAATGTTCTAACTCCTATATATTTGCAACCTGATGGTGTAAACCTTTGATATTTCAAACTTAAAATATTTGATCTAACAGAATTTATTGTTTAAAATATCTAAGGTCTACGACATAGGGTTGCAAAGATATAGAGATTAAAAAATCAGAGCTTGTGGCAAAGACTCAATTCCTTTGGTAAAAATTGTGTGTTAATTATTTTAATTATTTTCTATTTGTCATTATTATTTTTTTATTCTGTATATCTTACTATCTAAATATTTATCGATATTTTTACTTGTTTAAACTTAGTTTTTTATTTGTTAGAGAGTAGGTAAAAAATTTCGATTCTAACAAATAATGAAACCTACCTCTTTGACTCTTCCTGTTTCCTTCTTACTGCAAAGTTGGGTTAAAGGGAGTGACCGGCAGTTCAACTGCCATACATTGCCGATCACTCCCTTTAATGTCCAATTCATAACATTACCTTTAAAAGCTTTGTCCGATCAAGAATAAATCAGATATCCATGTTTTTGTTTTTGAAAACTTTTTAATTTTTGGTTTCTCTGCATAACACACTGTTGTAAATGGAAAATCAGGTTTCAAGTCAAAACACCTAAACCTTTTCTTTGGAATATATTTATATGCAGTCTACTGAGTTAACATTTTGATTTTCAGAAAATGCCACCTAGGGGATTTTGAGCAAATCCATTTTAAAGAAATTGTAGAAATGAAGTGCATTCACAGGTCTTAAATCAAATGTAAATTTCATTTCAAGACTTTGATCTTCTATTTCTGGGTTTGTTGACGAATGACGATATTTTTTAACCGTATATTTCATGGTCTCCAAATTTTTTTATTTTTCTTGAACAGTCATGAAACATATTGTAGCAAAAAATCAAACCCCTAAGTCAACTGCCTGACTGTCAAAAATACGGCCCGAAAAAGTCTTTTTGATATAATGTTTAGTGATTTTACTTCAAATAGACATTTTTAGGCAGTATTAAGACAATTATACAGTTCACTTAAGGCTTTGAATCTTTGTTAAATCATGTTATATGACTGTTAAGGAAAGTTCACTAAATTTGGGGACCCTGGCACTCTAAAAATATTGCAAAAAAAGCACAGAATAAACTTGATTAATCCTTGAAACTGTGTTTGAGTTTAGACCTGAAAATGTACTCGATTTCTACAATTTAATTAAAATGTATTTACTTAAAATTCCCTGGGTGGCATTTTCAGAAAATTAAGATTATAACTAAGGAGACTGCATGTTAATATATTACAAAGAACAAAATTAAGATTATAACTAAGGAGACTGCATGTTAATATATTACAAAGAACAAAATTAAGATTATAACTAAGGAGACTGCATGTTAATATATTACAAAGAACAAAATTAAGATTATAACTAAGGAGACTGCATATTAATATATTACAAAGAACAAAATTAAGATTATAACTAAGGAGACTGCATGTTAATATATTACAAAGAACAAAATTAAGATTATATCTAAGGAGACTGCATGTTAATATATTACAAAGAACAAAATTAAGATTATAACTAAGGAGACTGCATGTTAATATATTATAACTAAGGAGACTGCATGTTAATATATTATAACTAAGGAGACTGCATGTTAATATATTATAACTAAGTGTGTATAAGTTACTTGCTTGAGAAACAAGAAATTTTTCAAGTCAAAACAAACCCGAGGTTATCTTCCACACTGTTGATCAGATTAGGGTTTCATTGGTACTGTCTTGACTCTGGCATTCCCCTCTTTAACTGGGGGTTTTCTTAACATTTTGGCGATGGTCCCCTTGTGATAAGGCGTCCCATTTTAAATATTCGCTGTAATAAAGAATTCTTCTTTATTTATTGTCATAATCAGAAAGAAATGAGTTTATAATTAATGATACAACTTGACAATCTAATTTTAGAAATATGATTAATGAAGTGATTATAACAAAATATCCCTAGTCCTTCCAATTTCAAAATATCCCTTGTCCTTCCAATTCCAAAATATCCCTTGTCCTTCCAATTCCAAAATATCCCTTGTCCTTCCAATTCCAAAATGTGGTCTGCTCTTTTGTGCTTTTAAAATAACCAGATATTTGTATGTAAAGTCCTCTGACCGGGTCTTTCTGGTTATGACCGTAAGAAATTTCTTAAATCAGCAAAGAAAGGATTATAATCAGTATTTTTTAGGAAATAAACTGCTGTGATGTTTCTCCTGGAGATGAAATGTTGGCAACAGGGACAAAATACAAAGTTTTTCTGCCTTGTTGCTCCTAGAATAATTGAATGCCCCCGGCCAAATAAAACAATGCAAAATCATTGAACACTTGCAAAGGAATGTTCTATTATGATTATTATATTGAAATGAAAATCGAGACCAAAAATAAAGAAATTTTTTTAATTTCTGAAAAAAGCGGGGAATTATTTTACAAAATTAAACCTTTTGTAATCGGCGAACAAAAAGTTACAACTGATTGATGTTAACCTGGGTAGCCCAAGAAGAACCTCGAGGCTTTAACTTTAGCAGACTGGTCTTATGGAGTCTGAAATGTTATTGTTTAACTAGCTATATGCACAATTAAAAAGAATCCATGACAATAACTTCTATGATTTCCAAAAGGTTGTTTATTAAAGGGACTGTAAGTGTAATTTCAAGTGACCTTCCATGTATAGAGAGGTATGTCCGATTCACAACGGTACCCTTTAAACCTTTGTCCGGACAACGATTCCGGGAGACTCGAGGTTTCAGTTTACACTGTACTCCCCAGCTAGTTTACACTGTACTCCCCAGCTAGTGTACACTGTACTCCCCAGCTAGTGTACACTCGCGCGGTTTCTTGGCACTTAACTTCCCGCTATGTAAATATGAAAATTACTAAATCCTTTATCAAGCAAAGGTTTAAAGGGTATCGTTGTAAATCGGAAATACCTCTCAATAAATAAAAGTTCACTTGAAATTACACTTACAGTCCCAATTTAATTTGACAAATTTGGATTGATTTGAAGTATATTTTATTTAACTTGAATTGTATTTGGTATGTACAGGAAGCCAGGATAAAACATGCAAACTCTGGGACAAGAATTTAACCCTCACAGTAACCCTCCGGGGGCACAAGCGAGGTATCTGGTGTGTTCGGTTCAGCCCGGCCGACCGACTTCTTGCGACCGGAAGTGCGGACGGGTTGATCAAGCTCTGGTCCTTGACGGAGAACGTGTGCGTGAAGCAGCTGGAGGGACATGATTGTTCAGTGCTTAGTCTAGTTTGGATAAATGATCAGCAAATCGCCAGCTCGGCAACAGACGGACTTATCAAGGTAGAATTTAGTTTCAAAACATGCCGCTAGATGGCAAACTTTTTGTTTTTTCTTGTCTATTGAAATATGAATTATTAGCAATAATGATGTGATATATCATTATTTAATATAACGCAAGTTTTGTGGAAGGTCACATTTTTATGGGGTAGCTTAGTAGTAATTTATTAGATTTTGTCTTTTTTTTCACCAATATTTACATATTAAAAGGGACTGTAAGCGTAATTAAAAGCAACTCTACATGTAAAAATTGCATTGCTTGATTTACAACGGTACCCTTGAAACTTTTATTTGATCAACAATTTAAATTCAGTGTTAAAAATCATAAGCATTGATATCTAACTCTTGCTTGATCAGACAAAGCTTTTATGGGTACCTTTGTAAATTGCCACCTTTGCATGGAGGGTCACTTGAAATTACGCGTATAGTCCCTTCAAATTGATTTAGATATGGTTGGTGAGTAAACAGGAATGTGTGACAACACTTGAACAGCATGAGGAAAAAGTGTGGACAATTACCTCATTAAAACAGGTATCTTTAAACTTTAGTCATGTTTTAACACAGGGGTGTTTATTTTCTCAACCAAATCTTGTCCCCCCTAAAATTTAGTGAAAAACCAAAAAAAATGTTTTAATATTTGTCAGCGAGTGTTTTAACAAGGTTAGTGTATAGTAAAAAACTAGCTTATTTTTCGACTAAACTTACATGAAAATAAAACAGTTTTCAACAATTAAAAAAAAAAAATTTATATTAAGTCTTATAAAGTAGTATCTGGGGTTTCCAAAATGATATTAAACAACATTCCAAGTCCAAAACTATGTATTTTATGAACATTTTAAAAGAACAAGTTCAAAATGTCCAAACATGTCATTAAATTATAAGAGAGAAGTATCTGGGGTTTCCAAAATGATATTAAACAACATTCCAAGTCAAAAACTATGTATTTTATGAACATTTTAAAAGAAAAAGTTCAAAATGTCCAAACATGTCATTAAATTATAAGAGAGCTACAATTTTCAAAAAACTCAATAAAACTGAGTTTCTTGAACCGTTCATTAATCGACCATTTTTGAAGGTATTTCAAAAAGTAATGACATTTTAGAAAAAGTATAAAATATAGAAAAGGAAAATAAATTTTTTTTTTATTTTGTTCAGTTCTCAGGTTATGTTGGTGAGGTGAAAGTGCGCATCAATAAAATCAGTGATTTTGGGGCTAAAACTGCTTATAAAACTATGATTGTTCAAAATATTCAGTATAAGTTGGTTTTATCTTTTAACCATTATCTGGTATTTCGAAAATGATATAAAACATTATTCTCAGTCAAAAACTTTTGATTTTATAAAAGTTTTAAGAAATAAAATCAATTAAGTTCAAAAATAGCCAAAAAATCACGTTTTTTCCGACGGCACCGGAAAAAATGGTCAAAAATTAAAAATATTTTAAATTTTTCTTAGTTTCATATATATCTATTCAAAAGAAAAAGTGCACCTCTGAACAATTTTTACTGGGCCGCCCTACCCCCTTCCCCCCTATTCAGCTAAAATCATAAAAATCTATTAATGCCAAGTAGGAAGTAAGAAAAGTTTGATTTAACATAGTCTTTGGATTTTCAAATCAAATTGTCTGACCAATTAGATACCACTGTCATGGATATTGTGTTCGAAGAACATCTATATATAAAAAGTTGTAATCTATGTTTGTCTGTTTTTCATAACTCAGGAACCCCTGGACCGATTTGCCTAAAATTTCGATTGGGGGAACTGAAAGACCAACAAGAATATTCTTAGTTTTGAGATTTAAATTGAGTGGGTTCCCAACCTAGGCTATTTATATAAAATTGTAATCTCTGTCTTGTTTGTTTGTTTGTCTGATCATAACTCAGAAAACCCTTGACCGATTTGCCTCGCATTTTGAAGGGGAACTTGGGAGAACCACGAGAGCGTTCTCAGCTTGGTTTTGAGATTCTAAGTTGAGTGGGTCGACTAAAATAGCGAAAATTCATTTTCCCGGTTAAATCGTTTAAATGCGGGTAAACGGCGGGAGTAACTTTTAGTTACCTTGGCAGTACTGGGTTCCCAAGCTAGTACTGCATAAAGTGATAAGCCTTCAGTTGGTTCGTTTGTGGGTTTTTTTTTGCAGATATTTTCTGTCAGGGTCAAAATGACTAAAGACATAAAAAAACGATCCAAACACGTTTTTTTAATAGTTTTTTTTTCTCCATTTTTTAAGATAAAGATAGATATTGTATTTTTATTGTTTTATAACACAAACTTTAACATTATATAGTTTTGAAATTTTTGAAGTTATCAAATTAGTTTAGATACAATCCAACACAATTAGCAACAGTAACTGCACACTGACCTGGACTGCAGTTTAATTAGATTTTAAAAAAGGATGAACTTTTTACTTCAAACATTTGGTACTGATTGGAGTCTTCATTAAATTCACAGGCTTCTGTACAACAAATTTTTAATGGGGTCCCTGAAGTTTCGGGCCTTTTTTGTTTCATCAATGCATTTTTTTCTATTTCAGGATGGAGTTTTGAATCTAGTTTCTGGATCAGCTGATGGTCAACTGATAACCTGGCGGGATATAACAGAATCAGCTGCTCTTCTCAAACAGGTCGGCCATTTTGTTTTAGCGCGTTTTTAGCGCCATCTTAAAATTTCAACCTGCATATTTTTGTGTCTAGGTTGCTGCTGAAAAGATCGTGTTAAGTCAACAAAAGCTTTCAAACCTTCTTGCATCGAAACAGTTCGGACAAGCTCTCAAACTTGCGTTAAGGTATTAAATGATTGTTTTCTAGCTGTTGTGTCTTAATTAAATATATTTGCGGATCAAAGAGCTGAGATAAGAAAGGAAATGGCCATAGTGAAACAACGATATTTTCTTCTTTTTTACTCAGATAGCCATTTTATGTCTAATGTAAGAATAAGATACAATTAGGGTGACTCGTAAAAATTCTCCCAAATAAAGATTAAATTTGTTCGAAAAAATAATGGCTTGTTCAACGAACTACGCAGGTAGGTCGATGTAAGCAGTACTATGCACACCACCACACATTTAAAGTCTAGTCGACCTTTTTGCTGTAGCCTAGATGAACATAAAATGATAAATGAATCCAGGTATAGAATATTAGCAAGGTTGATTTGAATTTGAGGTGTAAACATATAAATATATACATACTTTAAGTGATTTTAGGTATAATTTGAATTTAAAGGACAAATATGTATTAAAAACTAATTATTGGCCTTACCCTTATTCTAACCAATATGTTGTGAATCCTAAACTAAATTGCTTTGAATTTTGGAGTAGAATTGGTCCCCGAGTTCTAGTATAATGTATCCTTGTGTCAAATAGTCTTGCAAGGATATGTAGTTTTGGCTTCCAACAAATTTCCTAGCTATGTTTACTTGTTGTTCTCCCTGTTGTCTGCTAGTATCGATCCAAAACCGCAGTGAGACTTCTTCTGTTACATCCAAGTGTTTTCCTTACATCTACCTGATAAAGAATTAATAAATTATTCAGATTGAGTCAACCATTTACAGCACTGAAGATCTTGAAGAAGTTGAATATGGAGGAGATGGAAAAGGCTGTTCTGAGTTTGGATAACGCGAGTATAGATCAGTTGTTAGGTACTTAAAGATTGATTGATTGAAATAGGGATTTGATTGATGGCTTGAAAAATAACTTTATTCATGACTTGATTGATGACATTAATGAAGCCGTGACAGATGACTTGATTTACAAAATTGATAAAATTGATTGCTGATTTACCAACTTGATAAAATTGATGACCTATTTGATAACCTTACTTGTGAACTAAAAGAGGACTTGAAATATGACCTTGTGGTTGAATTGATTGATGGCTTATTGATGACCTGATTGATTGATTGATTCTTCAGGTTACACAGTAAAATGGAACACGAACAGTAAGCACTGTGAAGCTGCTCAGTCTGCTCTCTTCATTATCCTATCTAACTATCTTCCTGATGTAAGTTTATTAAGATACATATTATTATCCTATCTAACTATCTTCCTGATGTAAGTTTATTAAGATAAATATTATTATCCTATCTAACTATCTTCCTGATGTAAGTTTATTAAGATAAATATTATTATCCTATCTAACTATCTTCCTGATGTAAGTTTATTAAGATAAATANAGTCCATATTGTTTTTGTTACATTTCGGAATATATAATAAATATAGTTTATAAATTATAACCTTGCATAACATTTAATAGGGAAAATCCGATTCACAGAATCAAAAGTTACCTCGGATCCGGATCCGTATCAGAGTCAGGATCCGGATCCATCATCACGGATGCGGATCCGCGGATCCGGATCCACATCAAAATGATATGGATCCGAAACACTGCTATCTATTTATCTTCCTGATGTAAGTTTATTAAGATAAATATTATTATTATCCTATCTATCTATCTTCCTGAAGTAAGTTTATCAAGATAAATATTATCTTACATCAAGATAAATATTATTTTTATCCTATCTAACTATCTTCTTGATGTAAGTTCATTAAGATAAATATTATTTTTATCTTATCTAACTATCTTCCTGATGTTAGTTTATCAAGATAAATATTATTATCCTATCTATCTATCTTCCTGATTTAAGTTCATCAAGATAAATATTATCTTATGTCTTATCTAACTATCTTCCTGATGTAAGTTTATCAAGATAAATATTATTTTTATCCTATCAAACTATCTTCCTGATATAAGTTTATTTTGTGAATTTTGTTTTAGCAAAAAAAAATCAAACCCTTAAGCGAACTGTAAAATTGCCCAATTGCTGCTTAAAAAAGACTTTTTGAAGCAAAACCAATAAAAATTATATAAAAAAAACTTTTTCGGGCTTAGGGGTTTGATTTTTTTCTACAATAAGTTTCATGACTGTTAAAGAAAAATAAAAAAATTTGGAGACCATGTCATATACTGTTAAAAAATATCGTAAAAAAAACAGAAGAAGCAGATTAAATCTTGAAATGAAATTTTTGTTTAATGTGAATGCACTTGATTTCTACAATTTCTTAAAAATTGATTTGCTCGAAATTCCCTAGGTGGCATTTTTTGAAAATTGAGAATATAACTCAGTAGTCTGCATATAAGCATAATCCAAAGAAAAAGTTTAGGTGTTTTGACTTGAAACCTGGTGGTACATTTTCAGCAGTGTGCTGTCTAAACTTCTATCTTTTTTATCGTTCTATCTATCTAACTATCTATCTATTTATCTAAAATAATATTATCTATATCACTATTAAAAGTTCTTTTAACATATAGATATTTAGATTTTCCGATTCTTTTCAAATGTATAAATCTGCAGGATCTTTTTAAACTATCTATCTATCTAAATTTCTACCTATTTATCCTAAAAACTAGCTATATCAAAAGGAATTAATTGAGTCTTTGGAACAAAATCAAATATTTAAACCTCAACATCTTTAGAGCTCGATGTTGTAAACCTTTGATATTTCAAACTCAGATTAATAGATCTAACAGAATTCATAGTTTGAAATATCTAAGGTCTGCAACATTTGGTTCCAAAGATATAGTGATTATAAAATCAGAGTTTGTGGCAAAGACTCAATTCATTTCTATCTATTTATTATACTTCTATCTATCTACAATTCTTCTAAATCTAACACTCAGATCCGTGAAACAAAAACTCTATTCGGTTTATTTAACCATCTTCAGGGCATATTCTTGCTCTATCTCGACCAAAGATTAACTTTCTATCTAGGATCTATTAAAACTGTCTGGGAGCAGGGATTGGGTTGAAGGACTTCTGCCCTACACAGAGAAACATTTCCAGAGACTTTCTAGGAAACCTGTCCATTCATTCATCTGTTTATTTACTCATTCAATTTGTAATGTGCTAGAAAAAAATTTAAATTTTCACTACTGCAAAGGAATAAGTGATAACTTGCCTTCAACTTTTTTATTTCTTTCTCTCGATACAATTAACGACATGCGGATAGAAAAACATGTGGATAAGTGAAAATGTGAATGACAAATATATAAATACTTATCTTTCCCGCCCATTTTCTATTTTGACTGTGGCGCTATCTGGGAGCATCTTCTATTTGCACAATATAAAACAAAAACAAAAAAGTTTGCCTATTTTATAATATTTATTCGTAGATTTTCAAAATTTTACAAAAAATGCTTTCTAAATTTATTTACTACAATGAACTTTTTTATATGTTAATTGTCTTAAACTTGATATATTTAGCTATTTAGCTTTAGAATTATATTTTCCGGAGGATCTGGAACAATCTGGAACTATTGAGATTTATGAACAGTTGTAGCTAAACAGGAATGTAGGATAGTATTGAAACGTATTAATTCACACTACTATCGTACAGTAGTCGTACTATCGTATGTACAATCCATCCATAAAAATCCTGTTCTTCTCAACTTCATTCCATTTCCAAGATGGAATTTATCCAATGATTGTTCATGTCTACAGGGGGTAGACTTGCAGTTTAATACGCTTTGGATCGATATGAACAGATTCCAGGTCCCTGGACTCTTCATCAGAATAATCTTGCCCTGTCTCTTGTTTCTTTTCCTGCTCGTGACAGTTCGCCTGTTTAATGCGCTGAACAGCATCTTCAAATTTCTTGTCAAGGCCGTCAATCAAACGCCAAAAAACCAGATCACACTTCATGATCCCCCAAATACGCAACAAATCTGTTGGAGGTATTTCGCTGTAAGTAAACCCTTTGTGGAGGGTTTTAAAACATTTTCCTTGAACGATTTGCACCAAGTCCTCGAATATGAATTCCCTCTGGTATTTTTGCAGAACCTCAAGGCAGTAAGCAAGCTTTGGCGTAGGGACTTCCACAGAGTTCTTTATTAGATTCCTAATCCCCCGGACCTGATAGGTGTCCCCTAAACCGTAGATCTCAAACAGGACTTTCAAATCATTGATACCTTTAATATCCTTCTCCTCCCCGGTGTACAGGAACTTGATGAAGGCTTTGAAACTGTTGAAGGACGGGCCACGGATCTCGATGACATTCTCCTTCATGTAGAGGAACTGCTTCTTGAGAACGGGGGAGAGGAGACCCAGCAGGAATTGGTGTCCTTTCACAGACTTGGTCTCGGCCTCAACGTCGTTGAATATTTTAAATTCAACATCAGAATCATTTTCAGATTCAAACAATTTGGCGAAATTATATGTTTTGAGTGTACTTGAGGTTTTTGCCATTTTAGACTATGTAGGGTGAAGTGCTGATGAGGGAATGATAAAGGTTGATATTGAATCCGTAGATAGTAAACCTAGTGAGCAGTTGACCATTTATTCATTTATTCATTTATTCATTTATTCATTTATTCATTTATTCATTTATTCATTTATTCATTTATTCATTTATTCATTTATTCATGTTATCTAATGGCTGGTTTACTTCAGGCTTCAAATGAAATCCAAATTCACAACATTTCTAATTTCTAATATAAAAGCTACCGCTATACCTCAGCAAGAAAACGAACTTTAATACAAATTATTTTTTAGAATATTTTTTCAGAATTTAAAAATGTCGGACACAGATTTTGAATCTAAAATGAAATATAAAATGTCAGGGATAGAGAAGAGGCGAGAACAAAGAGAGGAAAATATAAATAAGGTATTTTTTTCATTTTCAAAAACTATTTTTTTAATTAAAATATATATTTTTTCCTTAAATAGTCCGCTTTCGTTTTAACGGAACCCAAAGATTTAAGCTCCGTGAGTTGATCTAGGAACTTGAGTGTTGGGTACTCACTTTCATAATCCCGATAGCTTGATCTTGATAAACATTCTGAACACTTTCATTTCAATGATTTATAAAAAACTTCAGCTTTCCATATTTTCATTTTAGTTACTTCTCACTTTAACTGATAAACTGACGCAGAAGAGAAATTGTTTAAAATCCGATTTTCAAATGGATTAGGACGTCCCCAATTTTCCAGCGGGGGGACGCCCCTCCCCTTTCAGGCCGTTTCTAGATTGGAAAAAAAGTTCAGAAAAAAACGAATTTTTTTTGCAAAATTAATTTCTTATTTTCTAGATAAGAGAGAATGAGGCGGAGAAAGGATCTGAAAGAATAACAGAAAAGGAAATTAATCTTTATGTATCAACCAAATATCAAACAAATATCAACCAAATATCACCAAATATCAACCAAATATCAACCAAATATCAGCCAAATATTAGCCAAATATTAGCCAAATATCAACTAAAAATCAACCAAATATCAACCAAATATCAACCAAATATCACTAAATATCACCAAATATCAACCATCCCCGGTCCCCCCGCAAACTCTTCCATTATAAATCAACTCCCCCCANAGTGGAAGTAGAGTGGAAGTAGAGTGGAAGTAGAGTGGAAGTAGAGTGGAAGTAGAGTGGAAGTAGAGTGGAAGTAGAGTGGAAGTAGAGTGGAAGTAGAGTGGAAGTAGAGTGGAAGTAGAGTGGAAGTAGAGTGGAAGTAGAGTGGAAGTAGAGTGGAAGTAGAGTGGAAGTAGAGTGGAAGTAGAGTGGAAGTAGAGTGGAAGTAGAGTGGAAGTAGAGTGGAAGTAGAGTGGAAGTAGAGTGGAAGTAGAGTGGAAGTAGAGTGGAAGTAGAGTGGAAGTAGAGTGGAAGTAGAGTGGAAGTAGAGTGGAAGTAGAGTGGAAGTAGAGTGGAAGTAGAGTGGAAGTAGAGTGGAAGTAGAGTGGAAGTAGAGTGGAAGTAGAGTGGAAGTAGAGTGGAAGTAGAGTGGAAGTAGAGTGGAAGTAGAGTGGAAGTAGAGTGGAAGTAGAGTGGAAGTAGAGGAGAAGTAGAGGAGAAGTAGAGTGGAAATAAAGTGGAAGTAGAGTGGAAGTAGAATGGAATTAGAGTGGAATTAGAGTGGAAGTAGATTTGAATTAGAGTGGAAGTAGAGTGGAAGTAGAGTGGAAGTAGAGTGGAAGTAGAGGAGAGGTAGAGTGAAAGTAGAGTGAAAGTAGAGTGGAAGTAGAGTGGAAGTAGAGGAGAGGTAGAGTGGAAGTAGAGTGGAAGAAGAGTGGAAGTAGAGGAGAAGTAGAGTGGAAGTAGAGGAGAAGTAGAGTGGCATCTCAGATTTACAACGGAACCCTTAAGACAATCTTTAATCAAGGATAAGTGAGATTTTTATGTTTTATATCCAAAAATTGATCATATTTATTGTTGGATTCTGGTATGAATTAATGTAAATTGATTTTTTTTTAAATCTGCGAAAATGTTTTTGATTTGAAAACATGAAAAAATGGCAACTCAAAAAGCAAAAATTTGAAACTGAAAATATATCTGCTAAAAACAAAGTAGTAGTACACAATAGTATGTTTTTTTCTTATCACATTTTAGCCATGAGTTGTGAGAAAAAAATGTTCATTACTCTTTTTATCCACTATCTAACTGTGAAAAATCATTGAGAAAGAAAATGAGACGAGTCAATTAATATTTTTTTCAAATTAATTTTTACAAATTGTTAGAAAACTATTGGAGATTTGAACTCGGAGTTCCAGGATCTACAGAGTAAAGTTTTACCAAAGAAGAAGTTTGGTTTCAAGGTAAAGTACTTTAAGGGATCGTTCACAAAATCTGAACAGGAACCCAGAGGTTCATTTAAGGGATTGTTCACAAAATCTGAACAGGAACCCAGAGGTTCATTCAAGGGGTTGTTCACAAAATCTGAACAGGAAACTCAGAGGTTCATTTAAGGTTCACAAAATCTGAACAGGAACCCAGAGGTTCATTTAAAGAGATTAAATAGAAATCCTAGTAAATTATCCCAAAAAAACAAACTAAATTTAAAAAAACATTTTTCTATTTACTGCCCCGTCATGATTAAAAACTTTTAGGTAATAGATTTTAGACATTGAAAGTAAGTTATATCATCACCATTAATGTTGCCTTTGTTCGAAGGATCACATTAAAATTATTTTTTTTAAGCATTTGTTTGGATTTAGATGGGTTTGAATTTAGTTTGGAATTCTCTCACGCTGGTTTGGAAATTGTATAGTCTAAACATATTTGTGTTAAAAAGATAATGCAATGAATTATGATACAGAGGGATGATTTCGATGATTGATAAGAAATAAATAATTTACTCCAAACTGGCAAGTTTCTCTTTTATCCCAGAATTCATATATTTATCAAGTTAGCAATAATATTCCCAAACTGAGCTATAAGAACCCTGAGATTTTAATGAGCTACTGGGGCAAATGATGTTTGTAAGGGGGGGTAATGGTGGTTCAACAAATTGTATTACCTCTGGAATATTTATTTATTTAAAGAAAATTGCTGGGGTTGTTCCTGGTCCCCAGGCAATCCCACCAATCAGCACTACCCCTTACGATACGCAATTACGCATATCAATCATGCCTGGGGTAGCCTGGTTAGTCCGTGTAAGGTCTGTACTATTGCTGAACCCTGAATGCAAGCGTACCCGGGTGCAGGGTTACTAGTATTCTGTAGCCCCTTCACCCAACTAGGTTTAGTATGTTCTTTAGAACTCAAACTATTTAGGGTGTGAAACAAAGGAACAAGGCTCCTGATGTTATTAAAGATACAGTTGATTCAGGAGATAAACTAGAGAAACCAGCTCAAGTAGATACAGGAGTCAGGTATAGATACAGAGATACAGGAGTCAGGTATAGATACAGAGATTCAGGAGTCAGGTATAGATAGAGGATACAGGTGTCAGGTATAGATACAGGGATACAGTAGTCAGGTATAGATAGAGGATACAGGAGTCAGGTATAGATACAGGGATACAGGAGTCAGGTATAGATAGAGGATACAGGAGTCAGGAATAGATAGAGGATACAGGAGTCAGGAATAGATAGAGGATACAGGAGTCAGGTATATATACAGAGATACAGGAGTCAGGTATAGATACAGGATACAGGAGTCAGTTATAGATAGAGGATGCAGGAGTCAGGTATAGATACAGGGATACTGTAGTCAGGTATAGATACAGGGATACAGGAGTCAGGTATAGATAGAGGATACAGGAGTCAGGTATAGATACAGGGATACAGGAGTAAGGTATAGATACAGGAGTTAGGTATAATACAGAGATACAGGAGTCAGGTATAGATACAGGGATACAGGAGTCAGTTATAGATACAGAGATACTGGAGTCAGGTATAGATAGAGGTATACAGGAGTTAGGTATAGATACAGGATACAGGAGTCATGTATAGATACAGAGATACAAGACTCAGGTATAGATACAGAGATACAGGAGTCAGGTATAGATACAGGATACAGGAGTTAGGTATAGATACAGGGATACTGGAGTCAGGTATAGATACAGGATACAGGAGTCAGGTATTGATGCAGAGATACAGGAGTCAGGTATAGATACAGAGATACAGGAGTCAGTTATAGATACAGGGATACAGTAGTCAGGTATTGATGCAGAGATACAGGAGTCAGGTATAGATACAGAGATACAGGAGTCAGTTATAGATAGAGGATACAGGAGTCAGGTATAGCTACAGAGATACAGGAGTCAGTTATAGCTACAGGGATACAGGAGTTAGGTATAGATACAGGGATAGTCATGATACTGTGAAATGTTCCTTAAAAGATCGATTTCAAAGTAGTGGAAAGATTAAATTTAAGGGGTGGGTAATATACTGATGGGAGGGGGGATTATATTGAGAGGGGGGGGGGGAATATAAAGAAAAGTTTAAGGAAAATGGGGATATTAGAATATTTAAGTTAATTAAGTATAATTTAGTATTCGAGATAAGACTAGCGATTACTTGAGCCTAGAACCTGAAGCGGTCAACTCAGGAGATGTTACACTCTCTAACCTAGGTTAATATGTTATAGGCCCAAAGGGACAGTAAGCGAAATTTAAGTGACCCGCCATGCATTGGTGGCAATGCCCGATTCACAACGGTACCCTTGAAACCCTAAAAATGTGGAAGACAATCTGACTCAAAAGTGTTTTATTTTGATCATTTCTATTCTCCAGTGGTTCTTATAAGCAAGAAATGCGCAAGTGACTTTCGCATAGAAACCGAAAATGAAAATTAACAATTTAAGAAATAAAATAATGGATATCTACTTGATACTTGATCAGACAAAGCTTTTAAAGGTATTGTTGTAAACCGGGCAATACCATCTTTGCCTGGAGAGTCATTTGAAATTATGCTTACAATCCCTTTATACATTATTTTGTATTCTTTCTTTTTAGGCTAACATTTTTCTTCGATTGTCCTGTTAATGGATAAAAAAACGATTATTCTAAAAACAATCAAAGAACCCCAAAATAAGGAAGCTTACAAATCAGATAGATATGAAAAAAGGCGCTTAACTTTTTTCTAATACTAAAGTGTAATGTTGAAAACTTGTTATTTAAAACTAGACACATTTTTTGTTTGTAATAATACAAAATAAAGGAACTGAGTTTTAGTCACAAACTCTAATTGTCTAATCCATATATCCTTACAATCTAATGATATAAACCTTTGTCATTTCAAACTTAGATTATTTAATCTAACAGAATTCATAGTTTGAAATATCAAAGGTTTACGACATTGGGTAGCAAAGATAAAGAGATTAGAAAATTATAGGTTGTGACAAAATCTCAGTTCTTTTATACTTTTTATGAAAGGCATATTAAGTATAGATCAATAATTTTGTTTCTTGCTTCCAAAACATGTGAATTTGATATTCTGAATTGATTTCATTCAACAAATTTTGAACAATATTTTTTAATTCTAGAAAATTGTCGAGTTAAGTTAGTTGGAAGCCCCTCTACCGTTCATCTCTCCAATATTAGGTAAAAAATTACAATAGAAATCATAAAAGAAGCTCCTTAAAATTATCAAGAGTTGCAATAAGATCCAAGAAATTGAAAAAAAGCTCTTTCAAAAATTTGAAATAAATTCTATCAATCTATATCCAATATCCAATACTCATTAACCAAATGAGACACATAAATTACTTTTTTACATGGAAGTTTAAAGAAATCAGCGGATCAAAAATTGTAGATCTTTTTTTTTAAAGGGAGTGTAAAGGATAAATGAAAGGGGGTATAGGCAGAAACCTGAGAATCTGAGGAGTTGATCGAGACCTATAAGACATCTATCTGATGTTCCTGTCTCGAGAAATTGATAAAAAAATGTGTCAAAATTATACCAAAACTTCCAAAAAAAATTGAGCAAAGTTTACAAATTACATCATGATTTATTTAGTAAATTAGTAGTCATCTCAATTTTTTTGTGTGGGTGTAGGACGTCCTAAGAGTCTGATTTGATTTGATTTGATTTGATTAGATTTGTTGATTTGATTTGATTTGATTTGATTTGATTTGATTTGATTTGATTTGATTTGATTTGATTTGATTTGATTTGATTTGATTTGATTTGATTTGATTTAATTTGATTTATCTATTCAACGAATTATTCGATCTATATCTCTGTCCCTCTGTCTAAGTATTTATCTATCTATCTATCTATCTATCTATCTACCTATCTATCTATCTATCTATCTATATATCTATCTAAGTATTTATCTATCAATCTATCTGTCTATCTATCTAGGAACTGTAAGATAGTAGCTGGTCCTGTAAGTTCTTCTATATTTATAGAAAACTGTTCTGGATCTACACTAGTTCTCTCCTCCCAACAACTAAGGTATTCATACATCTAACCAGGGGTCCATATAATTCCATCTGATCAATTTTAAATGTTAATTGATTGATAATAGGGGCAGAAATAAACCATGTTGTTATTGTGAACAATTGAAAGTATAATGTCAAGTTGTGGAAAAAATTCCATTCTGGAGAATGTTTACTGAAAGGGAGTGTTTATTTTTCTGTATATCATAATTTATCTCTTACATTTTTTACTGATATTTTCATCTTTTAACACCTTAAATGCAGTACACATTTCTGAAGTGTAGTTCACAATGACACATAAAGTGTACTTCCCCTAAATGTACTTTCAACCCCAATCCCATTTGGGATCAGAAATGGAATTATATGGACCCCTGCATCTAACATATAACTAGGATGCAGCTGTGCCTCTATCTTTTACAAGTTCAGCTTCTTGGTACCGATCTCTCATTAAGCTTTTTTTTAATCGTACATTTTAAAATATCGTGGTTTTTCCGTTTTGATCATTAATTTTAAAACAGTTTAAAATTAAATATGTTTATCTTAAAAAAATGCAGAACCAGCAGCCAGCCAGCGAGCCAGCAAAATATTATAGTTTTTATAAAGTGTCTAAGAAAAGGGAATGATAAGGGTTTTAACCCATTAGTGACGAGACCAGTAACTATTAGTGAAGTTGTTTTAGAAGGATCTTGTCAAAACAAAACTTGATTGTACTCATGAAAAAATGATATTCAATTAAATTTTTTTTGTACAGGGTGACCTGTAAAACATGAAAATCTAAAAAACTTTGGTAATTCATAATTATTAAATTATCTTCAAAACTTTACTTTTCATGTTTTAGTTATTTAGATCTTTAAAAGAAGATTCCAAAAATATCCATAAATTTTTTCTAGCAAAAAAATTGACAATTTTATAGATTCAAAACTAAATTACAGGGTGTTCTTTTGGGTTTTTTCCGAATTCAAAATCTTGTTTTTTTGGGTTTTTTAAAATTGAAAATAAAATAAAAACCCAATTTTGAAGTTACGTCAAATATAAAATATGTTTTGAAAACAGGAAATCCTAAGGAAAGCGCAGGAAAAGACAAGACAACATTTAATTTAAGAAAAAAGGCACTTTAAAAAAAACCTCACCCGGTCAAAATTGACCTTCTCGTCACTAATGTGTTAAGCCTTTTTTTTGGGCTTTCAAAAGTTTCAAGTTTGTGCCTTCTATAAATATCACTTTTATTCTTATAACGTCAAGAGGGCAATGCAAAATATCAGAAATATAATTGTTTCTATAGTTTCGTCAGTTACATATACTTCCATTTTTCTTTTAAATCCGAAACAAATTTTTAGTTATTTTTTCGTTGATCTATGGGGGGGGCATAACTAATTTATTCAAGTACACGTAGATTTGATTTAATATATTTTGTGTTTCAGGATTCATAATACAACAGAGACAGATTTTCATATTCATGTCACTTCGAAGGTAATGATAGATATATACAATAATACAGATCTAAACACTAAACACTACTATATCTTCGGTCAGTGTAATGCAGATTACTACAGTAC